AAGCAGCCAGGGTCCCTGGCAGGGCCACACCCTGGGTCCCAACCCCTCACCCCACTCCAGCAGGGAGGAAGTTAGCCCCCAGTCCTGCCATCTCCCATCTTGGTCTCTATCAGCAGAGAAGGCCATCTCTTCTCTCTCGGCCCTCACCGGTCCTGTCTCCACCAGCTGAGGTACGGAGAAGAGCGAGGGCCATGGAGTTTGTTTGACTCCATCTGCTCTGGAAGCTCCTGTTTACAGCTTCCGCCTTCTAGTGCCAGTGCCCAGAGGCATTCCCACCACCAAGGGTTAAAGCCCTGGAGCCCCGCAGCTTCTCTGGGTCTGTGGCCCTCATAAAAGCCTTTTCCTCTTAGTCCCTCAGCTGCCTCAGGCTCCCTGGCTGAAATCTGATAAGGGACCTCTTTGTTGGAACTGTCAGTCTCCTTTATTGAGGAGGGAACTGGAGACCAGTGGCATTTCTTGGGGTACAGATAAGGCCTTGGATTCCTGTCAGAGGGAACATGATTAATTACCCTCAATCTTAGCTCCTGCTTTGATAGCGGTGACTGACAGTCCACAGGCTTCCCCATCAGGTGCTCACACCCCCTTCAGGGAGGCATGGCGGGGGCAGAGACAGCCTCCTGCAGGGCCAACTCTATGACCCTCAAAGAGCTCTGGGAAAAAGCAAGCCGTTTGTCTCCTCCCTGGTTCTCTGCAGGTTGCTTTTGCATTATTGTAGACAGAGACCTGTCCCTCTCAGATGAAGGGCCGCCCCTGGTCCCCACAAGACTGGGGGAAGAGCCATTGCTTGTGGACTTGAACTTTACAGACCCTGTTGTAAGCTGCATGGGAGGCCTTCGTAGAAGACCCCAAACAACCATCTCAAGGTCACTCGCCCACATCATGCCATGATTCAGAAAAGCTCTTAAAACACACTCTTTGTCTTCATAGTCCAAATTCCTTCACAGATGGGGAAATGGAGGCATTGGTCCTCTTTCTTGCTTCGGCAGGTAAACTCAGCTGAAAGGCCTTCCCCCTTCATAGCTGAGTCTCTTTGGGACAAGGGAGATGACTCCCAGGTCCATTACACACAGAGTAAGCTTCAGGAACAGAGCCCCCCATGGAACCTGCTTCTCTCTCAGCGGTCAGGACACTTGAGACCAGGGCAGGCTTTGTGTCCCGATAGTGTGAGAAAACCATCCTGCCTCCCAGAGCCGGTGTCCGTGGAGCAGCACTGAGGACCTGCTGGCACCAGGAGCTACTCACGCAGTTTTCATGAGGACCAGCCACACAGAAGAGGGTGACCGTTCCCCTTGTCCACTCATCCCTGGCAACAGGGACCATGTGAAGGAAAGCCGAGCTCCGTCAGCCCGGAGTGGGGCCAGGCCTCAGAGCCAGACCACAGGGCTATTCCAGGACTACCTCTGGCATCTGTTTTTTCTCTGAAGGTCCAGGGAGAGACCACTGTTTGGTTAGGGTTACAGCTTGACTTCAGATGTCACTGTGCCCTGCCTGGTCTTCTCCGGTCCTGTCTGGACCTCATTGCCCTGTCCCTGAGCAGTCTAAGGCCACCTCACTGTGTGGCTCTCGAGAGGCCAGCTTTCAGTGAAACTTTATCACACTATTGTCTTTCAAAGAAGTCATCTTAGAGAGTTAGACATTTTGCCCAGTGACTCTGCAGAGTGAGTTTAGCATTCCTTTGTGGGGTGTTGCCTGGAGAGGCTGTTTGACCACGATGGAAATTCTCAGGGTTTGCGGCCACACCTCATTTTCAGCCAGAGACAGTGTAAACAGTCTGGTCATACCATCCTGTGCCCCTCACCAGCCTCCCAATGCATGATGACCATTTATTTCCTGAAAAGGAACTTTACCCTTTACGTTTGAAGATTTGCCACCATTGAAGAGATTCAAATGAAAATATTATAAACTCTGAAAACCGTTTGCACGTTGAATTCCAGAACTGTGACAGCTGTCTCTCCAAGGCGACCATTCCGAAGGACAGCACCCCCTGGCCTAGGCCATCCCTGCTCGATGGTTGAACACTCAGCCACGTGTGGCGTGTGTGCCTCACGGCCCAGCCACCTCCCCTCTTAAATGCCCATTGCTCCTTCTCTGGGCCCCGTTGTGTGAAGTCGTGGTTCCTTTCCCTTCTGAAAGTCCCCAGTTCCCGGGCATTGTCCTCCTGCTGGCCCACATGTTGTGGGACCGGGAAGCAGAGCTCTTAACCCCTCCATGGGGCCTTGGTTCCCAGTGTGGTTAATAAGGGTCATGACCCCAAGGCAGCTCCTGAGAGGAGAAGGTGCCTCCTGTTCTGGGCATTAGACACTCGCAGCTGGTGACGGCCCTGGCAGGCACACCGTAAGCATGAGGGAAATGCATTTAAGATTCCCCGTGGAGGTGCCTCCAAGCCAGTTACTCTGACTCTCACAAGCTTTTTTTTTTTTTTTCAGCTACATGGTTGTTGAATTGAAACCTTCTAATAATCAAGGCGTAGTGAAGGGAAAACAGTCCCTGCCTTCATAGAGCTTACAGTCCTCCTAGGATAACAGATGAACTTTTATGAAACAGCTAGAGAGCAATTAGTTGTTGAGTTTGTTGGGGTAATCATAGAAATTCTGAGACTGAAAAAATCCACATGATCTGGGGAGTTAGAAAATTCTTGGGGGAGGGAGACAGTGAACATTTTTGGCCAGGGCGGAGGATTGGATTTGAGGCAAGTCATTTTAGGCCTCAGAAGGGAGCACACAAAGCAAAAAGTAAAATAGAAATGACCTTGTTTTTTGGGGGGTGGGGCGGGGGGCAGCTATGGGGCTTGAGAAGGCCCAACCCATTGCCGTGAGATTAAATTGCTGGGACCTGCTTGTGATATGTCATGTGTGATCTTTTTAAGGAGTCGGGGAGCACAGGTCATGAAACTGGATGTGTGGGGTGGAATGGGTAGGCAGTAAGAGTCTTTGTAGGTTTTTCAACAAGGAAGCCAACGGTACAGTGAAAGTCATATTTTAGTAAGATTGTCTGGAAGCAGTGTGCAGTGGATGGGGAAGGAAGATAGTCGGAGATTCTTCTCAAAGGAGGAACCAGTGGGGCCGCCTAATAGCCTAACGCTGGGTGGCGGGGAGAGAAGAGGAGCCAGTACTGCCAGAGGGTCCTGCCCAAGCCCTGAAAGAATGAGGGTGTTGCTGAGAGAAGCGGAAGCATGCACTGGGGAGGGGAGCTAGCCGAGGGCGTGAAGGGTGAGCATTCTGCTGGGAAATAAACAGGTGGCGTGTGAAAGTGTCCTGGAAGCTTTAAGAAGTGAGTGCTCAGGGGCCTTTGGGAGCAGTCTTCACAGATTTTCCAGGCAATTCCCTAGAGGATGTGAACTTACCAAGCCCGTGAGTGTGCACAGAGCTCCCAGAGAAGCGGGAGGCTGGCCCTGCCCTGCTTGGCAGCCGTCCTGTTGTGTCAGGAGCTTGTGTTTGTGACAAGGATCTGGCTTACTGTCTAGAATGGCACAGGGGGAAGAAACCAAAGCCTGACTGCACATCTTAGGTGTATACCGGCAACCGTCCAACATTTACCTGTGAATCTTTGACTCTAACTCTGTAACCCTTTTGACCCTCCAGAGACCAGCCGGTCAAGACAAATGTCTTCTAAGACCCACAACTCCCTCCCCACATGTAGCCAGAGACCAGGTCCTGCCACGGAGTCCCGCATGTTCACGCTCACACTGCTCCCTGTTCATGACTGTGGCACCATCACCCCACACTCCAGCTTGAATTATCCTGTCAAAGACTTGGCGAGGCCCAGGAGTGCGGGGGGAAAATGCCATCCCTTAAGGGAAAAAGAGCACAGGATTCAAAACAAAACAAAACCAGCCCCAGGCCGGCTCTAATTAAACTGGTCTAGTCCACCAGGCCGTGAGGTCTAGTGAGGCCTCGACAGCACTAGGCCAGGGGAAGCCGGAGACACAGAGGAGGAGCAGCTTGTGTACAGTAGAAGGAGTTTGCCATCAAAAGGCAACAAGTCTCATACCCTGCCCTGGATGGTGACCCTTCCCTGCGGAATTCTCCCCTCTGACCTCCAGGTCATTAATCCCGAGGCTGCCAAATGACAGTCATCCATCACGCCTCCTGACGAGCATCCCAGCCGCCTGTGAAAGGGCCGGCCCGCCCTCCCTCCGTCCCCTGGTGCTCATTAGTGGGCCGTCCTGCTCGGGGCCGGCTTTCCTAATCAAGTCCCTGGCTCCTCTCGCTTCCCTTCGGGGCCACTGGGCGGAAGCTGCTCTGACCCTCCCTCTTTCGGAGGCCAGGGAGGGGGTGGCGTGATTAGTGGGGAGAGAATTGTTGAGTGGCCTTTCATCCCCCGGGAGACTTGTGTGTCCAGCAGCTCCTTTGACGTGATGGAGACACGGGAGAGGAAACACCATCTCTCCATCCTGCGGCAGGAGAGGAGAAAGCAGGCAGCGCACAGGAGAGCTGTTACAGCCTGCGCTGAGAGCTACCACAGGGGCCCCTGGGGAGCTGGCAGGGGGGTCAGCCCGCTGGACCTCCCCTGCCCGTCAGGAGAGGCTTCCCTGAGGAGGCAGCTGAATGGTTCTGAGGAGCGGGAGTTGCCAAATCATTAGGGGAGAATCGGGAATCATGCTGTTAACCCCAAAACAAAACAACTGAAATAAAAAAAACAAAATAAGAAGTACATAAACACCAGAAAAAAATAAATTTAAGAAAAGAAGAAAAAATATTTTAAAAAACCAAAAAACAAAAACCTTTGAATTCGTCCCGTCCCATTCCTGTTATTTCCAGGTGGGAAGACAGACCCAGAGTGACCACATGTTTCACCCAAGGCCACAGAGCCTGGTTTCTGCCCGTCCCAAGGAGAACTGGTGGCTAATCTGGTAGCTTCCAGGCTTTGGGAGTTTGACTCAAATTACACTGCTGCTTCATGAATGTATTTTTAACTCAGCAGAAGGCAGGCACACAAAGGTATCTTCTTTCTTTGCTTGATAATCACGCAATTCTATTCCTGTCTTTGGCCCATCACAGGGACCCCCATCAACCGAATCCCCATCATGGCCAAACAGATCCTGGACCTGTACATGCTGTATAAACTGGTGACAGAGAAGGGGGGCCTGGTGGAGATCATCAACAAGAAGATCTGGAGGGAGATCACCAAAGGCCTGAACCTGCCCACATCCATCACCAGTGCCGCGTTCACCCTGAGGACACAGTGAGTGGCCTGGGCCCTGGGGAGAGGAAGCTGAGGCTGGAGAGAGGGGATGTTTTAACCTAGAGGAGAGGAAGGAAGGAAATTCCATTGTCTGGTAAGCAATGAATGGAATTCCCAAAACCACCAGGAGCTTTCTAGATGAACCTCTCACTGGACCTGAGTAAAACTGACAGCCGCCTTTTTTGAGTGTCTCCTGAGTGCACCGGCGGCCTATTCTGTTTCATTGACCCTCGCACTCCATCCTGTGAGGCAGGGGTCACCCCTGTTTCCCAGTTACAAAATCTAAGTCTCGGAGGTTAGTTAGGTTAAGGCCGTCCCAGCCTGGGTGTCTCCGTGGTAGGACTGAGCTCTATACCTGGGCTTCTCTGACTTTGAAAGCCGCACTCTTTCCAGAACATGGTCTCCCAAATAGCACCTTTGCTCTCCTCCTGGCCCTTTCCCCTGCAGCAGAAGACCCAGAGGAAGCCAGGCTGGCAGGTCCCACAGGGATTGGTGACCTGTTTTTATAACCAGCTGAGTTCATGACAAGGGGCTGGAAGCAGTGACACCAACAGGGTCATTGGTGAATGAGGGCCAGAGGGGGGAGTCTATTCTTTTGGAATACTCAGAAAGTAGCTCTCACAGGGAGAGCAGCTGACGTATCAGGAGGCATGTGAGGACTTTATTGAAAGTAGAGGGGTTTATGAGACCCGTTCCAGCGGAGAGGGCACAGAGCTTTAGCCAGATAGCCATCCTTCTCTCCAGGTTCTTGCGTAGAGACTTGCTCCCTGGACAGCTGACGCAGAGACAGGCGGCAGTGCGATGGGCCAACGTGACCAGGGTTCAGCGGCTGAGCAACAGTCAGGAGTCTGGGCGGGTGCACCCAGTGGCCCCGTGTTCCTCTCCCATCAGGTGCACCAGGTTGCTGGCCTGTTCCAGAGGCTCATCCATCTCGAGTGGGCACTCTCTGGGGCCATGTTTGAAACTCCCTCTTGCTTCCTTCCTTTCCTCCAGGTACATGAAGTATCTCTATGCCTACGAGTGTGAGAAGAAGGCCTTGAGTTCCCCAGCTGAGCTCCAGGCCGCCATTGACGGCAACCGGAGGGAGGGCCGACGGCCCAGCTACAGCTCATCCCTCTTTAGCTACTCCCCCGCTGTCGCCACTGCTGCCACCGGGGCCCCTGCCCTTCTCTCTCCACCGAAGATTCGCTTCCCCATCCTTGGGATGGGCTCCAGCAGTGGCCCCAATGCCGGCAGCCCACGGATATCCCCAGCAACCACTCTCAGGAAAGGTCTGCAGGACCCTGTGGGGAGGAGAGAGGGAGCTAAGTTCCCCGCGTCCCAGACACGGCGGGAGGGTCGATCACGGGTTGGTGCAGCGTCACTTCCATTGCCAGGTGATGGAGTCCCAGTGACGACCGTGACCGTGCCAAATCGCCTGGCCGTGCCTGTGACCTTGGCAGGCCAGCAGGCCGGCACCCGGACGGCCACGCTGGAGCAGCTGCGGGAGCGGCTGGAGTCGGGGGAACCCCCGGAGAAGAAGGCCTCCCGGCTCTCGGAGGAGGAGCAGCGCCTGGTGCAGCAGGCCTTCCAGCGCAACCTCCTCAGCATGGCGCGGCAGCTGCCCATGAAGATCAGGATCAACGGCAGGGGTGAGCGCTGGCCCGGGGCTGGGGGCGGAGGGGGTTCCTGCCACACCCCGGCTTGGCTCCTGGGCCCCTGAGCCTCCTGCAACGGGGTGGAGGCCCTCCAGGTGCTGGTCCCCAGCCTCTCAAAAGTATCTAGAAGCCAAAAAGCCACATGGGTCTTCTCTGGCTGCTGAGAACTCAGTTAAGGCTGAGCTCTTCTTAGGGGACCAGAAATTGCCGCAGGCAGTGCCTGTTCTCTAGGAAAGAGGAAATCCAGTTGTTCTTGGAGGAGGAGCCAAAGCCCTCAGGGACAGCCGCCGTGTCTGTGTCTCTCCCTCCGTCTTCTGATCTGTCTAAATTAAAGGGCTCAGCCCACATCCCGGGACCTCTCAGGACGCAGGCAGATGCAGGGCGGCGGGTCAGGTCTGGGCGGAAGGCCGCACCTCCATTCTGCCACGCGGCGAGGGGTCGAAGTCGCTACCTGCCAGGTGGCCAGTGACCTCCCGGACCCCAAGAGCGGCCACATAACTGACAGCCTCTCCCTCCCCCTGCATGTTCCAGGTGTCCCACCTTCTCGCCCCCTGAACTGCACATCTGTGTCCCCTGTTCCTCCTTCTCCTCTTTGTCCCACCCATTTTCTTTGCCATTCTCGACCTTGACTCCATCTTACAACAAACACAGATAAGTGTGTGTTGCTGTGGAGGGAGTCAGGGAGGTGACAGCCCGGACCAAGGGCAGTGTCTCGGGGCCTGCACAGAGCTAATAGGAAGGGCAGCTCGCCCGCACGAGTTCTTGGCTGTCTGCATGGTGAGAGGGCAGAGCCTGAGGCCAGCTGGGGAAGGGAAGTGGCTCTATGGCCAAGGCAAACCACAGGACAGTGCCAAGGCTGGGTGCTGCTGTTCTGAGCAAGGTTCTAGACACTTTCTAACAGGTTAAAGCCTTGATCTGGTATGGCCAGGCCAGGAGGGTGGGAGGCAGAAGTGCCCAAAGGCTTGACTGAGCATGCCCCCTGGTCCCCAGCAGAAGACAGAACAGAGGCGCCGGCTGCAGCCCTCAACTTGACCACAGGTAGCATCGGGAGCATCAACATGTCCGTGGACATTGATGGCACCACCTACACAGGTAAGGCACCAGGCCGAGGAGCTGCCGCACAAGCCCCTGTGCAGCTCCTAGGATGTCACTGTCACCCTCTCTCTGAATACCTGCAGGTGCGGGGGCTTCCTTTTCTGTGGTCTCCGGGTTCCTACAGTGAAGTGGCTCTTCCAGCCCACACTGAGGATGCTCACAGGATGGCCGGTCCCCTCCACCTTTGACAGACACTGTCAAAACTTGCCCTTTTGGACTCCTGGTTGGCTCACTAATGGAGTCACTTAATGTGAGAAGTCATCACTAACACCACCTCTTTGTCTTAAAATCTGTCGTCTAAGCTAGAGCACTGCTCACTACCTCCAGTCTTCTGAGGCCCAGGTCGCTTTTCTTTGATTGTGATTCAGCTCATCCTTTCTTAAAATAGCCGTCATTCCTGTTCTTTTAAAATCCTCTTTTAAGGAGCCAGACGCAAACAAACGGATCTGAATAGAGGAGCGACTGCCTCTGTTGTACAGCCCCTCCCCGGTCCTTTGCAGTTGTCTCTCCCGACATTTTATTGGAGTGTTATTCCTTGGTTGGTCGAGCACCTTGCCCAAGTCTTCCCAAGGCATTTAGCTGAGTTTTCATGGAAACTGCGTTCCTGTTCCCACTCCCACCTCATCTGCATAGGGATGAATTTTTTTTAAAAGATTTATTTATTTATGAATACAAGAACTGGGGTGTAACCCAGAGATGCCGGGGGCTGGGGGAGGTAAGAGGATCCACCAGAGAGAGCAGGGAGCAGAACAGGCAGACTGACAAAATACACTGCTGAGGGGAGCAGCAGGCGAGACAGGAGAGGTCTGCTGCGCCATGTGGGTAGCTCCCTGGCTGGGAATCAAACTCGTGCTGCAGTGCCTGCAGATAGCTTGATAGCACTGTCTTTAACTCCTGTGCCACCAGGGAGTTCCCTGCATAGGAATACATTTGAAAACAAACCCAGCTGATTGGTTAAATGCAGCTTGGTGGGTGGAGCCAAAGAGCCCAGGCACACTCTGGCCCCCTGCCAGAGGCCAGGCGTCAGCCACAGATGGCATGGGCAGTGCCCGGTAGAACAGGCTTAAAGGCGCCCCTTTTACAACTGGGGGGCACCCCTCAGGGGCTTCTGTGTCCCTTGCTCTAGAGGGTGGGGGTTAGGCCCCTTGGGCACCACCCTCCTGGCCCCCTACTTTGGCTCTCTGGGGGGCCACCTTGTCGCCCTAAGGGTCACTGCAGGGGGAGGTGCAGCACCACCTATTTAGGGAGGGCATGGGGCCGGGGCCAGCAGAGGACCAGAGTTCTGGAAGCAGCCTGCAGGGACACGGCCAGGCCCGGTTGCTTTGCAGCCACCAAATAGTCTTCAGAGACCACACCCAGAGGTCTCTGCATGGCACAGGAGGCCCTTTGAGGAAACCAGGCGAGCCAGCAGGTAGCATGGAGATGCCCTGGCCTTCTGATGGTGCCAGAGTGGCCTGGGAGGCCTGGGGTTGGGATTGGGTTCATGGGCAAGAGCAGGGAAGGAGTTCTGTGCCTGGATCTCCATCTCCTGTAGTCCTCGGTCAGAAGAAAGGAGATAATGCCTTCTCTCGGGTTGGCAAACAGTCAGAGAGAAGTGAATGAAGCCTCCTCAGACCTCTCCTGCCCCTGTCCCTGCCCTCCTGTGCCCTTTCTCACTGTGTGTGCCAATCCCTGCGCCAGGAAGCTGGCCTCATTCCCAAGGGCCCCTGGCCCTTAGAGCTGAGCCAGCCCACAGAGCTAGTGCTCTCCTGCATGCTTCTCCGCACCGACCCTGCCAGCCATGCTGCTGCTACTCCTGCTTCAGGCCCGTCTCCCCATCACCGCAGCTTCCTTGCAGGCCTCCTGCCCCCTATTCCCCCCAGCCCCCCAGGGGGCATTCTTCAGTGACCCCCCCAAGTCATACCACAGTCCTATGCCCGCCTCCGACATGTGTGCCTCCTCTCTGTTCTCTGTGTTCGCCCCCTGTCCTCTCCCTCTTGCTTCACTTGGCCACTTTCCCCGACAGCCAGTCATGCTCTTCCCCTGGAGCCTTTCCTCACCAACCCTACCTGCCTCCCAAAACCTTTGTGTTTCCACGGCACCCTAGCGCGCTTCCTTCAGAGCACTAACAACATTTCAGCATTGATTCTGTTTCCCATCTGCCCCCCTCACCGGCCCTTAAGCCCCCAGAGGCAGGAACTTCTCCTGTCAGCACAAACACAGAGTCAAGGGGTGCCTCATGCACAGCTTGGCAGCAGTAAGGACTGGAGGGGAACTGACCCGTCTTCTCATCTGCTCACACGGGCATCCCCTCTTCCCCAGGCGTGCTGTTTGCCCAGAAGCCTGTGGTCCACCTCATCGCAGGATCTGCTCCCCAGAGTGTTGGTAGCAGCGCCAGCAGCAGCAGCAGCTCCCACTGCTCACCAAGTCCTACCTCATCCCGGGGCACCCCCAGTGCAGAGCCCTCCACCAGCTGGTCCCTCTGACGGGCGGGACCCAGCTTCCCTCTCCCCGCTCTGCTGTCAAGAGTGGAGGAAGTTGATGCACAGAATTTACCTCATCTCACGGAGCCCACGTCAAACACCGTTTGGCCAGATGTTGAGAATTTGGACGTGTCCGTCTGTCCTTCAGGCTCCATTCAGGTCCTGCTGTACTCTGGGGGCAGGGAGAAGCTGTAGGGGCAGGACAGGGCAGCGTTGTCCAATCAGGGATTGTCCTGGGGAACTGGCCGGGGTCAGTGGGCATCCAGCTTCCTCCAGGTTCCCGGACCACCTCCCCCCACCCCTGGACACAGTGTATCGACAATCTGTAAGCCGACACAGGGCTGGAGGCCCTCCAGGTCCCTTCCCTTTTAATTTATTTCCCTTCCCCTGCCTCCTGCCATGACTCCAGGGTCACTGGCTCCTTCCCCTGCTCAGTCCCCCACTCTTTAATTCCCACGTGGGGCTGCTGAAGTCAAGTGCATGCCTTGATGGCCCTTTCATGGTGGACATGGGGTGGGACCTTCCAGCCCACCTTGACTACAATGTTTGGGTCCTGGATTATGGATCCCTTAAGTTCAACTCTTGAAGCAGTCCTCAGGGGCCGGCCCATGTCCCCCTTTTAGTGGTCTCCAAAATGAGCACCTGAAGGCAGTCCTCAAATCCCGGGGCCTAGTGGGCTTCTGCTGAGGGGGGAAAAGAGCCTCGGGGCTGCCCAGGCAGGCCCTGGCACCCACTTGACATTGACCCTTTTCTGACCCTCCCAAACCTTATGCTCCCCACTCACCCTTCTTGGCCAGCTCTCCCGAGAACTGCCCACCTGTCCCTTGGCTTGCCCTTCTCTTGGGGCCATCTCAACCCCAACATCCCCAAACCTGCCGATGTCAGGTTCATTGAAATACCTCAGATTTATAATTGTTGATGTTTAATTCTTCAGGAAGTATTTGCATCTCTGAAATCTTTTTTATATATGTTTTGCTGACTTTTGTTTGTTTTTTTTTTTTTTTAATTTTAAATTTTTTATTGTTGTAGCACCAAAGAAATGAAAGCAGATCACCCCCAAAAGCCGAGCAGATGACTTGGCGCCCCAGCCCCTCCAGTCTTTCCCTGAGACCCCAGTGAGGAGGCAGGGAAGCAGGCAGGAGAGATGACTCAGGGATCACAGCGGCAGGGGAGGGGTGGCATGGGGACACCCGTTGGTTGGACACACCAGTTCTGAAGATGGTCCTTGACCCACTTCCTGCCAGAGTGGGACTGGTCCCACACCCCTACCCCCATCTCGCCAGGGTGGAGCAGGACGTCTCCCCACACTCAGCATTCCCAACTCAGGTCAGGGGTGGACCGTACAGGCAGGCCGTGGGCCTCACCGAGGCTGCGCTGGCTCGGGGGGTGAGGAGATGCCGAGAGCTCTGTCCCTCCTCTTGGACCCTGGTGGCACCAGCTGCTCTTGTGTCGTGAAGAAGAGTTGGTTCTCACAGAGGCTCACCTCAGTCCAGTCAGCCCTGCAGCGTTCGGTCGAGCAGCACCCTCGGCAATGTCTCCAGGCCACAGGGGCGGGGCCCCATCGGTGAAAGGAAAGGGAAATCAAAAGCTTGAGCACAAAACAGATACCTCAGCCTGGTAAGCAGCAGCTCTGCTGGACTGCATCTTTGCCCCTCTCGCCCCCTGCCCACCACACACTCACTCTCACACTCACACACAGCCCCACCCACTGGGACTGACCCTCTTCCGGGAGCTGGTGCCAGGAAAAAGCCCAGCTCACTGCTGCCGGGCCCCCTGGCAAGCGTCACAGACCTTGCGCCAGTATGTCTTTCTCAGGGGTTTGGAGGAGAAGGATAGACCCCCAGAGGATGCAGGGGCACCGCACTGTGTCTCCTGGCCACTGAATCCTCTCCTGTCCCCAGGAAACTCGCCAGCCTGCCCCTCTAAGCGAATCCATGCTGCCCTCATGGAACAGCAGGGTCTCGGCTAGGAAACCTGGGAGTGGGGGCACCAGCAGTGCCCCAGGAACAGGGCTCTGCCAGGAGGGGCTTTCTGAAGGTATAGTCCTGAAGGCCACGTGGCAGGCAGCTGGCCAGGGCAGCTCTGCCGCCCCCAAATGACATGTAGTCTAACCAGGAAAGACGTGATAGCACATGGGTAGCCTAGGCAGTGATAAATACCTCAGACGTCCTCTTGCAGCAAGTGTCTGTATATGTTGTGGTTATTTTCTATCTTACATGTTCTTGAATGTTTATATTTCAATAAACCTCTACCTCTTCACACAAGCGCATCTCTCGGTGCTTTCAGTGACTTTTCCATGGACGGGAACAGGAGAGCAGGAGAGCAAAGAGCCTGCAGAGTGAAAGAAACTGAGCAGACTGCACCTCTGATCCCCGGGTTTCTCCTGAATCTTCTTCCTGTCACTGTTCCCGCCGCCCCTCCTCCAAGTGCCCATTCTGTGCTCTGTATTATTTGCAAGGCCCGTTGGGGGCTCGTCAGTGTTCTGGCGGGGCCAGGGGATGGCCTCCCCTCAGTGAGCCGCGTGTGCTCTGCTGTGTCAAACACTAACGATAAGTGTGGCCCCCACACTCAGCTCTCTTCCAGCTGTAACAACAGCCTCACCCGTCTGTGCAGCCCTGTGAGCAGTCAAGCGGGGACCCCCTTCTTGTGATTTTGAAAGTGAGGATGACATAGGGCCAGGATTGAGCTTCTAGCACTGATCTTTTAAAATCTTTGTTTTTAAAGATTTATTTATTTATGCATATAAGAGCTGAGGTGTAGCCCAGAGGTGTGGGGAGGAGAAGGGGTGAGAGGATTCACCAGAGACAGAGTGGGGAACAGAACAGGCAGATCCACTGAAATACACTGCTGAGGGGAGCAGCAGGCGAGGCAGGAGAGGTCTGCTGCACCATGTGGGTAGCTCTCTGGCCGGGGATCGAACTTGTGCTGCAGTGGCTGCCGATAGCTTCATAGGTTGCATCTTAACCCTTTGCACCACCAGGGAGGCCCTGTGATGTGTTTTTATTTATTTTTATTTTTTTTAAAGATTTATTTATGCATATAAGAGCTGGGGTACAGCCAGAGACGTGGGGGGTGAGAGGATTCAGCAGAGACAGAGCGGGGAGCAGAACAGGCAGATTGACTGAAATACACTGCTGAGGGGAGTAGCTGGTGAGTCAGGAGAGGTCTGCCGTGCCATGTGGGTAGCTCCCTGGCCGGCTGGGGATCGAACTCAAATTGCAGAGGCTTCGGATTGCTTCCCTTGCACCACCAGGGAGGCCCCCCTGTGATGTTTTTAATGCTTATTACTAAGACAAAAGTAGAAAGGGATGGGGAGAGGGGACAGTCATGAACAGGTGTTTTGGGAAGAAGTGATCCTTAGGGATCAGGAAAATGCACCGGAAGCCATCCCACCGCCAGCACCATGGGCAGGGTCAGGAGAGAATGGAGAGCGGTGGGAACTGTCCCAGCACTTTGGGAAATACTTCAGCATTATGTGGTAAAGCGGCCCAGCAATTCTGGACACACTCTGTGTGTCCCTGGAGGCGGGGCAGCGCTGGGAACAGGGTGGCAATGGGATTACCAGTTACGGAACGCTGGTGTGGGCCGAGTACTGTTGAAGTTCTTTGCGTGAATTAACCTGCCACGTTGTGAGTTGGGATTTTTATCCCCATTTTACGGAGGAGGCAACTGAGGTACAGAGAGGTTGCGGTCCCGTGGCTAGTGAGATGCAGAGGCAGGTTTCTCAGTTCCTGCTGCAGAGCCCAGAGTCTAACCTAACCACCAAGTGTCCAGTGCTCAGCACTCTGCACTCACATTTCACATGCACCCTTGGTGCCCTGGGGCCGTTTTTTTCTCCATTTCCCAGACGAAGCTAAGAGCAGGAATGTGGGAGCGGTCACAGCCAGCAAGCAGAAGGGAATGGCCCCTAAAGCAGCCCTAACTTCTGTGGGGGCCTCGCTTTTGTGAGGGGCAAGGGGATCGCCAGGGCATTGGGTCTTACTGGTCTCTGCTCGTCCGCGTGGGTCAGCTCCCTGACCGGGGATCAAACCCCTGTTGCTGCAGCAGCTGGCGACAGCTTGAGCACGCTGAGACTTTATACCCTGCACCACCAGGGGGGGCCCTAGTAGAGTAGCTTTTATTTAAACGCCACTGCAGACTATCCTAACAGAAGTGCTCACGCGGGCACCTGGCAGCTCTCTCGGAGCACAACTCTGAACTCTGGTTTGAAATGCACTGATTTGGCCAATTCACCTGCCATGAGGCCCACACCCAGGTCCCAAGTGGATGAGCCATTGGTCTGGCCGAAGGAGTAGATGAGCATGGCTTGGCAGCTCCGTTAGGCCCCTGAGCAGAGCATGGACCCTCGGTGTCTGGTTAGTCCTGTGAGTGCATGCACACATTTGGGGGTGTGTCCATTTCCAGGTGAGCATCTGATGTGTATCTTGTTGCGTGTATGTGACTTTGTGCCCATGTCTGTGTGTGTCCATCTGTGCACCTGTGCACACATACATTTGCCCAAGAGGCGGAGGGAGGAAGCTAGGCTGGAGGAGGTAGTCAACCGAACGAGTTGAAATCAGACAGACAGAGCCCGGGACATGGAGCCCTTGCTCTAGCTGCTGTGGGACGGTTCTCTGGGACCCCTCTCCCAGGGGCCGTTCCCACAGCCTCATTTCCGTCTCCCCTCTGGGGCTTTGCACAGCCTCTTCCCTCTTACTAAAATGCCCTTCCTTCCTGGCAAGTGCCTCTTCATCCTTCTGTGAGGATTCAAGGGCCCAGAAATGCCCTCTGGGAGAGGACTTCCCTATCTGCTGTCTCCCCGCACCTCCCACAGCACCTCTCCCCTCAACTTCACAGTTAATTATAATTGTCGCCTCGATGATTGTGTTCCCCAAGCCATAAGCTTTGGGGGATAAGGAGCCGTCTGATTCACTTTTGGTTCTCCTGTGTACAGAAGCGAGCCAGACATGCAGTAGATGCTCAATAAATGCTTGATGAATGACTCAATGAGTGAACACGTGAACTCTGGGGCACAATGAGGAAGAGGCAGAAGAGAAGGAAGCCTGGGACAAAGCGAGGGGGCATCCTAAAAAGGAGGAAGAGACTAATTGGTTTATGGCAAGAAAAACAGGGCACTGGAGAAGAGAGTGGGGTGGACGGCGGAATGGGGGAGGTGTCGTGGGGAGGAAAAGGAAGAGTGGAGGGAAAGCACCCCCGTCAGGAGCAGGTGGTGGCCGGCCTCGTTCAGCTCCTGGAGTCTGTGCAGTTCTTCCTCTTTAAATTTCAGGGCAACTGCCCCCTGGTGCCAGCAAGTACATAGCCACCTTCTAAAGCAGGGATGTGATTCTCCCTTCCAGCTCTTTCCTGAGGCCCCTAGATCTGGAGAATGCTAAAAAAAAAAAAATGGGGCCCGCTGGGTGCATGCAGCATGGGCCCCAGATCAGTCCCAGCGCATTTTCACCCATCTTCAATGATTTTTTTCCAAGTTGCTTGAATGTCTGCACTATGTCTCCCTGGCAGAGGTGGGCCCTGCAGCAGAGAAGCCTCCTCGGCTCCCTGCAGACACTCCTGTGCGCTTCTGTTAGGAGCATCCTGCCTGGAACCCAGTGGCGGAGGTCATGGCACTTCCCACCATGGCAGTTCATGGCAGTCATGGCAGTTCACCCCAGCTGAGAATGGGTTAGCTCAGATACTGCAAGGGGTGAGCCAGGGCAACCTGGCCTGGGGCCACCCCCAGTGCTCAGCAGCAGGGAGCTCTCTGCCTCGGGCGGCACACCCCTTGGACACAGTCTGCCTGGCCCAGAGCTGCTGCAGCTGCTCCAGGTAGGCCTAGTCATTGGCAGCCATGCAGCTCTTTCAAGAGTCTCCAGTTCCCCTGTGAAGACCCCCACTCCACCGGGGCTGTGGGGCTCACCTGGCCGGAACTGTCTGCTCAAACCAGTCCTGCAGGTCTCTCCCCAGGCAGCCCCTCCTCTCAGGGCCCCAGATCTCCTCTCAGGAGGCCTCTGACCGCCCAAGCCCACAGAGGTGTCTCCCAACTCCAGGCCTCAACTATGGACAGGTGCTTGTGCACACCAACGGGGGGTGGGGGAGGGGGCGCTCCAGTGGCCCGCCCTGTGATGGCTGCTCCCTGGAACTGGACTCGATGGAGGCCTCACCCCAGTCTGCCCCTCCTGGTCATTCTGTTTTCCATAATAGCCCTAGCACCCCCTCACCCAACTTCAGGGTCCCCTGCTTATCTGCCCCTGGTACAAGAGGGCACAAGCTTGATTCAGGGGTGCCCTGGATTCCCTTCCAGGCTGACTACCAGCTGTCTTGACCCACCTGGGTGAGCGTCAGTAGCTGTCCCCACAGGAGGGCCGTGCCTGAGCCTGGGTAGGCCATTCCGCTGACCCCATCGAGCCCCCATTTGGGCCTGTGAGCTCTTGGGTCGTCTGGCTGCTCCAGCTCCGCCCTGGCCCTGCAGGCCTGGCACCAGCGTCTCCTGCAGGTACATTCAGCCCAGGATCTTAGGGGCTCCTTTCAGCCTCCAGACCTCTCTGCAGTGACTGCTGTGTCAGCAGTGCCTCTGGGAGTATGTTGTGGCCAGGCCCACCCCCAACTCAAGTCCTGACGCTGAGCAACTCTTCCCTACTCCAGTCCCAGCCTTCCCATCTGAACCAAGAGTGGGAAGGGGGTTGGATGCATGGTGGCTGGATTTTCCCAAAGCTTGGGAAAGTGTCTCTGGGCTGGATAGAAGCCCTTGCACTGCCTTCCCGCTCCAGGTACTGTTCCAAGAACAAAGAGCAGAGGTTGAAGTACAGGGCAGGGCCACAGGTGTGCAGGGCCATGTCCAGGGCTCAGTCATACACCCACTTGGAGGGGGACTCTGCTGTCCTAACTACCCTAGGGGACTCCAGGCTGGGCTCTGGGCCCAGGGATTGTTGGATCATCCTAGTCCAAACACCGCTGGGTCTTTTCTACTTCTGTCTGCAGTAGCAGGAGCCTGAGGGTCCTCTCCCACCACCTCCCCTCCCCCTACTCCCAGCACCCTCACTGTCTTCTGACTCCTGGTCTGGCCTCCTCCACTCCTGTCCCTGGGACCTGTGAAGCTGGTGACTCCTGCTCCAAGTGGGCCGGGGAGCATCCCCCCTCTTTGTGGGGGGCTGAAAGTCACCTGGAGAAGGCCGGCCCAGTCCCACCCCTTATGCAGGGCAGGGGAGTTTCTGCAGCCTCTGATAAGGCAGGCCCGAGCCACTCCGAGGCCCTGCCTTCTCCACCAGCTGTGATAAGCCCAGCCATGGGCCCAGCTAGCTGATCTCCCTGTCTGGACCATGCGCTGGCTTTTATACAGATGACTGTGCAGCTCCTACAGGCTCCAGATATGCAACCCTCCACCTCCAGCTGGACCCCAACCCGTCACCTCTCCACCCCAGCTGCTGATGACGTTGCAGTTCCAGCAAGAGGACCGGGGATGCTATCAGGGAATGCTGAAGAACAGGTAGGCGTGAGGAGGCAGGGTGTCACTTGGGTCCCCAGGGTCACCCTAGTCTTGGGAGGAAGCCATTGCTCTGGAAGGGTCAGCTGTGGACTGACACCCCCCAGGTCCTGAAGAGCTTAGGGACATGTGGACCGTCACAGGGTGTTGCTGTCCACTCTCCCAGGCTAGGACACTGGGTACCTCCCCAGAGGCATCCGCTTGACCGTGATCTCTGCCTCCCTGGGACGGCAGCTCCAATAGGGGTGATGGCGCTTCCAAGGAAATTCTTCTGTCCACTGAGCTTAAACCGGGCACCTCCCTCCTCCTGACTGGCCCTGGGAGCATCACAGGGGCCCTGGCCCGTCCTTTGCCTGTGTAGCGCAGCCTGGTCCTATCAAGTCACGTGCTGCATACCCACAGGGGGCACCATTCACAGATGACACTGCTCAACATGGCTGCCCTGTTGGGGAATCAGTTCTCCCCTGTGTTTTTTGGATACCCCTGCTCCTGAGAACATGACCCCAGATATGGCACGAGCCCTGAGCATTCTGGGTTTTCAGCCTGATGGGGGGATCTGCTAGCACAGGGGACCTCCCTGGGCCGTGGACAAACCAGGAAGACCGTGGGAGAGCGCAGCAGCCTCAGTGTGCGTGAGAACCAGCAGCTCACATTTAGGACTTGCAGGGCCCAGCACGGTTCCTGCCACCGCTGCAGCAGCTCCAAAGGGCCTCAAGTGGGGCCCAAAAATGGCCAACCAGCCCAGCCCGCTGCCACTAGCTTGCCACCAGCCATGCCCATAGCTCTTCTCTGGCCAGTGCTAGTCTCGCTCAGGAGCTAGGTCTGAGCACCTGCCAAAGAGAGAGAAGCCAGGCTTTGACCCAGGCGCTCAGGGCCGTTGTGCCTGCCTTTCCCACTCTCACCTGCGCCCTCGGTGGGGCTCTATGGGTGGACTCCGTGCAGCGCCCAGAGGTGGCAGGAGTGCTGGGCACACCAGGCATCAGGTCCATGAGGCTCAGAGTCCTGCGCTTGGGACAGATGGGAGACCTTGGGACTGAGGTGGCCCTACCTCCGGAACAACCAGTCTCTGAGGCGCCTCCCCGATGCGGAAGCTGGGATCCGGGGCTGAGCATGCACTCAAATCCTTCCACCCTGACCTCCCAGGCCTCGGTTTTCCCTTGTGATTTACATGGCAAATAAACAGCAGCCTCAATGCCCGTTAAGCAGTTCTGAATGCCAAGTTTCCATGAGCTGGGCCTGGCCCTTGCTGACCAGCCATGGGCTCATTTGGTGCTCCCGATGTTGGGAAGATGGGGCTGAAGACCCAGGTCGTGCCGGGAGTTCACCACAGAACTTGGCCTGTGCTCCCCAGCCCCACTGCCCTGCTTTCCAGTGTGGGAGTCTAGAAATGGGAGGAGATGGGAACTGGGGGGACACTCGTTCAGTTCTGATGTTGGGTAAGGAACACAAATGGGGTCCCTCTTGCCACCTCTGGCTGTGAGACGTGTCCTGAGCCCCATGCCTCACTAGTTTGGGAAGGGAACCCACGGAGGAGTGAGGGGCTACTCATTTGGTGTTGCCCTCACCCCACTCCTCACACCCATACTCTTCACCTTTGGGTCTCAGAATCCTAATGCTGCCTCCCCACCCACACCCCTAGGCACCCGGTGCACCCTGCCCCCAACTCTCTGTGAGCATAGGAAAAAGGCACCCAACTGAGGAGTGTGCATTGGGCTGAGCTGCCCCAACTCTCCACATTTCCCAGGCCTGTTCACCACCCACGCCCCAAAGGCTTTCTCCCCTCCAGACACCTGGCTCCTCTGACTCCAGGCGGACTGCTGCAGCCCCCTTCCAGGGTGTTTGCCCCCCCACCCCCCATTTTCCCACCAGCCGGGCCTCTTCAGAATGGACCATGAGGACTGGCCCACGCCCGGATGTGCACTCACAGCTCCACTCTGGCCGGAGGCCCTGTCTTTGCGGCCTGCCTTGGTTTCTGTGAGGCTCCTGGTCCCCTGGGGAGCCGCGCAGGCCAGAGTGTTGCACTTGTGGAGTCAGTGCCGAGGAAGTCACAGTAACCAAGTGCTGTGGGAACACGGGGAAGGGGAACCCGAGTCTCCCGTGGGCTCCCAGCAGAGCTTTCTGGAGCAGTAACTCCAGGGTTGAGGCTGGAAAGTGAATTAGCTGCCCCCAAAGGGAAGACATGGATGCTGCACAGGGAAGAGAGAGCGAGGGCAGCAGGATGAGGCGTGGTGGGGCAGCTCGGGCCTGGAGGGGGCAGTGAGCCGTGGGGACAAAAGGAGGTGCAGAGGGGCGAGAACTGTGGTGTGGCTCAGGCGGCTGGCGGTGGGGTGCAGGATAGGGGCCTCGCCCTGCTGTAGAGCTCAACCCACACAGAAAAGACCGGGGAGCACCAGGGTCGAGGCCTGGGGGAAGAGCTTAGGCTGAGGTCTAGGATGCCAGCTGCCTCCTCGGAGGTGACCCCACCCCTGGGCCCCTGACCCCACACCGCCTGGCCACCGCCATCCAGTTCTGCGGGGTGAGGGGAGCGTGGGGCCGAGAGGGGACATCTGCTCCCGCTGCACCTCAGGGCCGGTTTCTCACGGGACCGATTCTCTGCTCGCTGCTGGGGCGAGTCCCTCCCGGGAGAGGCGGGACGAAGCCCAGGCAGGAGAGTCTCCGCGAGGCTGGCGCGGCTCCAGGCCGGCAGCGAGGGCGGGGGCGGGCGATGGCTCCGGGCGCCCCTCGGGAAGTCGCCCCTCGCAGCCGGAGGACGGGGCGGGGGTCCCCGCGGGGCGCGGGCTGCTGGGAAGGCGGGCCCGGGCCCCGGACCTCTGTGGGCTCCTCCACCCTCGGCGCCGGGGAGACCCCGGCCGCGCGGAGCGGCGGAGGGGGGGAGGCCAGCGCCCCCCACCTCGCCCGAGGGGAGGAAGCGGCGCTTCGACCCCGGCCGGGGGCCCCGGGCTCCGGCAGGACGGTGACTCACCTCGGCCCCCGACCCCTGGGGGACCGGGCCTACAGGGGCGGGGACAGCCGGGCTGGGGCGCCCGAGTGCCGGGGGAGCGACCCCCGAGTGTCCGGCTGGGGGGCGGGCGGCCGAGGGCGTCGGGCCGTCCCGGGGCTGTCAGCGCAGCGCCCCTCCCGCGCTTCTCCGGCTTCTGCTGTTCACTTCGGGAGGGGGTGGACACGACGGCGATTCGGGGGAACCAAGCACCCCTCAAGCCACTCAGGCCCCAGCTTAAGGGCGAGCCGGAGGTCGGGGGCCGCCGCAGCCCAGGGGGTTCGGTTCTGGCCGCGCCGCCCGGCGTCCGAGGCGCGACCCGCGGGCGGGCGGGGCGGGGAGCCCGGGGCGCAATTCAAAGCCGCTCCCGCCCGCCCGGTCCGTCGTCTCCCGCCGGGCGCGGCGCGGGGTGTCTCGGAGGCCCCCCTCGGTGCTCCTACGCGGGAAACCGGGGAGGGCGGCCCCGCTCGGCCCGAGCCGGGGGGGGCTCCCCGGACCCCGTCCCCGGGGCCCCCCGCAGGGCCCCGTGTCCAGCCCGCCGCCCTGAGCAGCTCGGGCCGCCCCTCTCGTCGCCAGAGCGTGTCCCCCGCGCCCCCCGGCCCCCCGGCCCCCCCGGCCCGCGCCAGCGCACAAAGCCCGCGGCCGCGCGGGGGGGGTTGGCGGGCTCGGGCGGGGTCGCGGCGGCGGAGCGGGCCGAGCCCCCCGCCGGGTCGGGGCTCCACCTCTCGGCTCCGGCGCCCGCCGGCCGGGAACGACCGCCCGGGCGCCTCCGCGGGGCCTGCGCCCGGCGACACGGAGGGCAGCGGGCGCCGCCGCCCGGGCCGGCTCCGCGCCCCGCCCGCGGCCAACGTCTCCCGCGGCCGCCCCCACCCGCGCGGCGCCCGCCCGCGCCCGCGCGTCCCCCAGAGCCGGCGAGTCGGGGGCTAGAGCGGCCGGGCCGCGCGGGCCGGGCCCGCCGGGCGGACGTCGGCGGCGTCACGCGAGGGGCGGGGCCGCGGCGGGCGGAGGCCGGAGCCGGAAGCGGAAGAGGCGCTCGCAGCGGGCAGCGGGGCCTAGCCGCGGCCGGAGCCTGGGCGACGGTGAGTGGGGGCCGGCCCCGGCGGCCGCGGCGCGGGGGCGAGTGGCCGTGGGGGCGCGGGGGGGCGGGCCCCGGGGGCCCCGGCGCGGCCTCGACCTGCGCCCTGTCTCCTCCCCGGCCCGCCGGCCGCGGCCCCGACCTCTCACCCCTGACCCGCCGCCTCTCCCGGAGGGCGGTCGCCGCAGACCCCACCTCTCGGCCCGCGGGGAGCGGCCGCCGGGGCCCTGCCGGGGTCGGGGTCGGGGCGCGCTGGGCCGCCTCGGCCCGGGGGGCTGCCGGGGCCGGTCCCCGACTCCGCCCGCGCGGCCCGGGGCTCGGCCGGCCGGGCCCGCCGCGTCTCCCCCGGCCCCCGCCCGCGCCGGCGGCGGTTGCGGGCTGGGGCTCCGCGAAGCCGGGCGCCGGGCCCCTCCGCTCCCGCGCCGGTGACGGCCCCGCAGCCGGGGGCGCCGGGCCGAGCTGCCGGGCCCACGCGCGGCGGCGCCGCGGCCCGGGGTCTGCCCTCCTCCCGGGCGGGCGCCGAGCGCGGAGCCGGGGTGGGAGCCGCTGGCGGGCCTCCCGCGCCCGGCCCGTGCCCTTGACAAGGAGGCGCGTTCCGCCCGGTGGCGGGGCGGCTGCAAGGTGGCAGGTTTGAGGTTGCAGCGGTGGGGCAGCTCCGGCCAAAAATAACCATGGGGCGCCGGGCGGCGGTGATCCGGAGGGCAGAGGCCGCCCTGACTGGCTGCTCTTCTTGTCAGCCTGGTTCCTTCGCGCGGAGCAGCCAGTGAGGAGCCGGCCGGGCCCTGCGCGCAGAAGGGCCGACTCGACCTGGTTTCCTTCACGTTACCTTTTTTTTTTTTTTTTTTTCCTCTGCGGTGCCGAGCCTTCTGGAACGTGGTTGTGGCCCTTGGCTTCTTTCAACGGCCCGTTTGCAGGGGTCTCAGCTGCTGAGCCAGGGGCCCCAGACCCCTGCCCGGGAGGTGATGGCGGGGCATGACATCACCAGCATTTCACCCGCCTGGCGTGTGTGAAAGAAGTTATTTCCTCTGGGATTGCCTCGTGTGTGGTGCTTTTTAGCTCTCCTGCTTGTCATCTCCTTTGCCAGGTTGACTGGGAGGTGTTAGCGCCGTTTCCCAGGTGTGCTGACTGAGGCCGGCGCGCTTGGTGGCAGGTCACAGGGCCAGTGAAGTGGTAGCTCAGGGATTTAGTCCACGGTTTTCTACACAGCACTGGCCCCCTTCTGGTCCCTTGGGAGGGGCTTCTGTCTTTATTGCCCTTAAGGCGAGTAGCACAGACCTGGAGGTGCTAACTGGAGCCTTTTCAGTGTTCATGAAAAGCCGTCTTTGGTGCCTCCTGTGTGCCCAGAGCCGTGCTAGGCATTTGACCTAAAGTGACCTTAGTCACTTAAAGAGTGACATAAATGTAATCCTCACGGAGCCCAGTAAGAGGTTGCTACTGTCCCCTTCTTGCAAGAGGAAACTGAAGGTCACAGTCGATGAATAACTTGCCCAGAGGCACCCAGAAGTAGCAGTGCCAGGGTAGATGTCTGGCTCTAAAGCTGTGCTCTTGCCACTGACACGAATGTGTATGGACTGAGGCATCTTCTAGATCCTGGGAGGGAGTTTCTGACCTGGCGTGGACTAGACCTGGTCCTGCAGCTGCAGTGTCTGCTGCCCAGTGAGGATGAGCACTGGCCTAGTGGGAGTCCTGTGCCCCGGCCCCTGGAGCGTCTGCCACGCCACTTAATGAGCTGTGAGATACTGTGGTCATTCCCTAGCTTGGGCACCTGACCCTGGTAATTGCAGGAAAGCAATGAAACATTAGTCAGCTGATCACCAGGACAGAGCAGCCATCTAAACTCTTGGAGCTGCTGGCAGTTTTACATCGGATTTATTGCCAAGGATCACTGGGGTCAGGACTTCCAGGTTGACAGAAGAAGACCTGCTGGTGGGGAAATTGAGGACAGTGACTTTCCCAGGTTATGGAGAGACTCCCAGGGGGTTGGTCTAGCATGCCTCACTACTTTGTTTATTCACAGGGAGCCATTCCTTGTTCTCCTGACAGACCCTCCTCTTGAGACCGGGTAACTTGGGTTTGTCAAACTGCTCTGTCTGGCAAGCCCTCAGCTGACCTCCACTGGAGGCAGGCTTTGACCAAGCAGAGGGCTGGGACGGAGGCTGGCCATGGCATCTGGCCCAGCCTTCCCATGGATGCAGTGTCAGGGTTTTGGGTGTGGGTGGCACAAGGTGTTGGCCTCACAGAGCCACCAGCTGGTAGCTGGGCCAGCCTGGCATTTTCCTGTGGCAGATATAAGTCCCCAACGAACAGGATAGTTTTGGCCTGTCTCCCGGGCAGATGAGCCTGCCAGACAGCCAACCTTCTGGTTGCTCCTGACGTGGACATCAGAGAGGGTACTGGGCAGGGGAGCTGGCCGAGGGGACAGTAATGGTACTGGTAGGCAGAGATGAGGCACTGCCTGGCACAGCATTGCAGGTGGTCAGAGGGTGATCAGTGGGGCCTTGGGCAAGAAACTTGATGCTCTTAAGGACCCTGGCGTTGGTGGTGGTGCCAAAACCAGATACCCCCCGTCTGCTTGGCCGGACCTGGGGTGGGCTTGGGAACGTCCGTGAGGCCGTGCACAGCGCTTTCTGTGGTCGTCACGCCCTGACTTGTCCTGGAGGCTCCCTGCGTGGGCCCGTGCAGCCTGCAACTTGGGCTTCCCAACTAGAGGGCTTCCCCTGCCGGCTCCTGCCTGTGGGCGCCCTGCCAAGCCCCTTTCCCTCTGGCCTCAGCCAGAGCCTGCGTTGTGAGGCCCCACTGCGGTGGGGGGGGGGGGGGCGAGGGGGGTGGGGTTGAGCACTGGCGCGTCCTCTTTTCCCTGGTCCGCTTCCCGCCATGGTGCTCGCCAGCCTGTCCCTGCCTTCTGCCTCAGCACCGCCCTGGCTCGCGCGGGCACCGGCTGATGGCGCGGGGCTGGGCATGCGGCTGTTGTTCGCCAGCGGAGGAGGGTGTTGCCCATTGTCCGCTGCGTGACCAGTGTGACCTCAGAGTTCTTCTTCACTTCATAAACCCCTGGGAGGGGCTGCCCCTAAACAGAACAGCGGGCCCCTTCTTCCGCGGTGGCCCCGTGCCGGGGGTGGCTGGCCGGCGTCTAGCGGGGCTCTGTTTCTCGTGGCCTAGATGCATCACTGTAAGCGCTACCGCTCCCCTGAGCCAGACCCGTACCTGAGCTACCGCTGGAAGCGGAGGAGGTCCTACAGCCGCGAGCACGAGGGGAGGCTGCGGTACCCGTCCCGGAGGGAGCCTCCGCCCCGGAGATCTCGGTCCAGAAGGTGAGAGGGAACCTGGTGGAGGGACGGGCTCCTGCCCTCACCCGGTCTTGGGGGGCAGCTGGAGGTGGGGGCTGCCCCGGGCTCCTGCAGTGACTGCTTCTCGGCCCTGCTGCCCCAGGGTCACTGCCCCCCCAAGGGTCCACTTCCTAGGCCGCTCGCCTCGCCTTGCCTGCAAGCGCCGGCTCGGCCACCCGCGCCAGCCAGTCTCCCTCTCCCGCCGGGCCCCGTTTTCTAGGCCAGCGTCTCCCCTGCTCGCCTTTGAGCCTTCCCCGCTGGGGTTTAGAGACAGAACCTCTGCCCTTCCCCCATGGTGCTCCCGGGTCCCGTCCACACCCGCAGACCAAAGTGAGTGCCCGTGGGCCTCCGCCATGCGCCGCCCACCCGGCTCTGCAGGGTGGAGGGGTGCGGTAGTAGCCTGGCGGGTTCCGGAGGTCAGCCCCCACACACACAGTGGACACCCTCTCACCCCCTCGGCCCTTCCCCTGGTCTGGATGCCTTTGCTCCAGCAGGCTGTCCTTACGAGCCATGGGCAGGGCCCTGTCACCTTCGTCTTGCCCGTGGCAGGACCCAGCCGGTGGGGGCGGGGCCATCTCACGCGTGTCCCCACCCCCTCCCGGCAGCCACGACCGCCTGCCCTACCAGCGGAGGTACCGGGAGCGCCGTGACAGCGACACGTACCGGTGTGAAGAGCGGAGCCCGTCCTTCGGGGAGGACTGCTACGGGTCTTCGCGCTCCCACCATCGGCGGCGGTCACGGGAGAGGGAGCCGTACCGGACCCGCAAGCACGCCCACCACTGCCACAAACGCCGCACCAGGTCTTGTAGCAGCGCCTCCTCGGTGAGTGGTGCCAGAGTGTGCTGGCTGGGGCCTCGAGGCCTCCTCTCTCTCTAGCCTTCTCTCAGGCTGGCTGGTCTGGGTGAGTACTGCCAGCCCCACGCACGCACGTCAGTGCGCGTGCATTTGTGTGTGTGTGCGTGTGCGTGTGTGTCGTCTGGTCCAGGTGCAGGACTGAGCAGGAGCAGGGGCCTGATTCCTCTGTCTTCTGACCCCTTGGCAGTGGCAGCTCTAGGGGCTCTGGTACCGGCGCTGGCTGGCCCCCATCCTGTTTCTGTTCACACGCTGCTCCCGCGCAGGCTGCGCGGTGCAAGTGTCCAGGGACACTTCGTAGGGAGTCTGACAGGGTTGCTGGTAGGTGATCGGAGCTGTCGGGTCCTTGCCGCCGGAGCGTGCCTCTGCGCGTAGCCGAGCACTGGCGGGTATGGACTGCACCCGCCTCTGCACCTCATCTCACACCCCTCCCCACAGGCCCAGGGCGGAGCGCCCCCGGCTCCGGGAGGAGCTGTCTGTCTGTCAGCTCAGAGCAGGAGCTTCCCTTCTGACCTCCACCCAGCCCTCTTCAGCCTCGCCGCCGTACATGGGGGCAGTCACGGCAAGGGGCACGAGTTCACCTGCGTGATGAAGAAATGGCCAAAAGGTGTGCAGCCCCAGGCCTTGTTCAGTTGCAGGCCACATGCCAAGCACAGGACCTGGCAGTGTGCCCAGCGTGGAGCGTTGTGTAGCTCTCTGCGGAGACCACGCTGCGCTCAGACCCCAGGGCAGGAAGCAGTTGTGTCTCTCTGAGGTTCCGTGCCGTCTCTCCTCCTCCCCACCCCCTCTTTCTGCCTCCCCGGCTCCCTCCTGCTGTGGAATAGTGGTGGCACCAGTGGAGGGGACCAGGCGTCTTCTCTGCCCAGTTCTCCCTGTGACTTCTTTGAGTGGCTATGGGCCGATTAACCGCAGGAGCCCCGCCTGGCCTGGCGGCCTCTGCGCACTGCCTGCCGCGCGCCGCCGCAGGATGGCCGTGCAGGTGCGGGGCGCTGAGTCTTCTCTTTTTTGGTGCCCTCTGTTGTTGTGACGCGGGATGGACCTGGCCCGTGAGTTGCAAGGGTGCCAAGGCCAGGGCAGGAGCTGTCAGGGGGCCTGTGTGGGCCGTCATGGTAGGAGGCCTGCAGGTTGGCGGGCCCAGAGTTCCCAGGAGCCTCCCCTGCCCGCGACGGGCGGCACGAGGGCCATGGTGGAAGGCCGTTGCTGGTGGCGATGTTCAGTCTGGCCCCGGTTGCCATCGGGGGGCAGCTCGCAGCTTGGCTCTGAGCAGCAGCTGTTGGGCACGTGCAGGGCTGTGTGGGCGAACAGAGGCAGGCGACACAGACCGGGCACACTGCAGCTGCTGCTGAAGCCGGGGTGCCCCGGCCATTCTGGATGATCGGACCCGGCCCGCCGCCTTCTTGCGCCGTTCTCACTGCGTCTTCAGCGCTGGTCGAAACCTTCGGGGAGGGCCAGGGAGGGGAGACCACGTGGAGGGAGTCCGGGCCGCCGCGCTGGCACCCCCCGGCCCCTCCGCAGCCGAGGCCGGTCGTCTTTCTGAGCAAAGAGCTTGCGGCGCCCTTCTCTTAGATAATGTCCGAGTTCTCTTTACATACCTGTAGCTGTTTTTACTTTTCTGTTTTTGAAGTCAGTTTGTGTCTTGACGTGTCCCTTGCAATATCCCTATCGTTATATATGCTGTGTGCCTTATGAAATGCTGGGATCTGGAAAATCCAACCAACCAACCCACCGGCTCCTCACCGTCTCCACCTCTGCCTTTGACTGACACCTCACTCTGTCAATCGGAACCGCCTACCATGCGATTGGTCGGATGGCGTTTCGGGGGGCGGTGCATGCAGAGAAGCCAACAGAGCAGTAAGCGCAGCAGCCGGAGTGTGGAAGATGACAAGGAGGGCCACCTGGTGTGCCGGATCGGCGATTGGCTCCAAGAGCGATGTACAGCCACCTTTCGTAAAACTTTACCTCTCTACTTTCTACCCCCCTTGTTAGACGAGCCCTCTCCTGCCCGGAGCGGCCTCTAGTGCGCGTGGCGCCTTAGCGGGGCCACCAGTAATTGCCTGAATGACACAGACACTAGCAGCTTCTACTATTTTTAAGAGTGTAGCAGTGAGAGAGAAACCTTTTTTGTTTCTGAGAATTTGAATGCTGTGATCTTGCAGGAGCTGCCGGCTCTCTGTTCTCCAGACGCTCATGCCCGGCTTCTTTTCTCTCCTAGATGAGATCGTGGGGAACCTGGGTGAAGGCACCTTTGGCAAGGTGGTGGAGTGCCTGGACCACGCCAGGTGAGCCTGCGTACTGGGGCGAGCGGGCCTGAGCTTGCAAGGGTGGCGGCCATGAGAACGTAACCATTTTCCGTTTGAAGGGCGGCCCCCTCCCATCCTGGGATCTCGTGGACCCCCTGAAATAGGGGATGGAGGCACAGGGCATCCCTGCTCCAGTCTCACTGGTCAGCGAATGGTGCTGTTCCCCACTTCTCCCCTTCTCCAGGGCGGCGGTGCACTATCAGCACAGGGCCCACATTTGGGCCCCACCGTGTCTGGATCTAGAGGCTGGGCCCGGCTGGGGGTTGAGAGGACCCGTGAGCACCACCCAGGCCTGAGCTCCACCCTGTTGGAGGCTGGCCTTGGAGGCTTTGCGAAGCACAATTGAGAGAAACAACACACTGGGCTTTTTTTAACCCAGCAGGCCCCTGTCTTCTGCCGTGTGCCTAGGGTCAACCGCCGCCCCCGGGGGTGTGCTCAGGGCAAGCCAGGGTACACCTGTGCGTGTCGGGGCGCTGCTTGAGGTACTGCGCTCCCCTCCCAGCCAAACAGTGAAAGGCTTTTGTGCCTTGCCACGCCTCAAGGCCAGAACCCTTGCCTCTCCCCCACACCCCAGTAGTTGGAAGGCCACCTCCTGGACACCCACTGCTTCCTTGCCTCAATGGCCCTTGTGTTGGTTTGGCACTTTCGCTCCAGTGCTTGTGCTTGTGCTCTCGTGGTCTCATTTGAGCCATATGCTGCTCACATGTGACTTTTTTGCTTCCTCAGAGATATGAAGAAACACGTTCAGGGCTTGCCCGCATGCAGCTGGTGCCAGTCCCCACATTCAGAGGGAAAGGCCGGTTAGACCAAGTCTAGCCAAGCCCATGGCCCGATGGGACAGTGACAGCCCCTGAGAGGAAGGCTCTGTTGCTCCCAGTTCACACTTAACTACCCTGTGCACCCCTTGTGGCCAGGGGGTTAGGCTGGGACCAGCACGCGTGGGGACATGCCAGCTGTACGGCGGCCAGCTGGGGGTGGCAGATCTGAGAGCTGCCCCACATGGAGACAGTTCAGCTCTCCGAGCTACGCCGCTCCGACGAGCCTCTGAAGTCCTTCAGGGGCAGGCACGGACTTGGGGAATTTCGGGGAGGCCTGAGGGGAGCTGGCCAGGGAGTTGTCACGGGGGCGTGTTCAGCACAGTGAGGAAAGGTCTCCCCCGCCTCCCGGCCCTGGTGGTGGCTTTTCACAGCGGCGCCGAGCTCCCCCGTCAGGGGTGGGAATGCCATCTTACTCCGGGAGGAGGCTGGGGTCCGGGGCCTTTCAAGTCCTTCCCCACCCTGAAGATCCGGGCAGAGGGGGAGTACCGCGAGCAAAGCTGGATCTCCTCTAGAAAAACCTCCACTCCAGGGCCTGCGAACCTTATGCACCCGGCTGGCCTTCCAGAGGGCCCAGCGCTAGGCCAGGGCTGTCTCAAACAGTCCCCCGCAGGCCTCTGCGCCCTGGCTAGCCCTTCCTTCTCTGCCGCAGCCTGCAAATGGCCACCGGGACAGTGCTGGCCGGTGCGGGGTGGGAAGCGCAGAGCAGGGATGGTTAAAGGCCTCACCGGGACCTGCACAAGGGTGCCCGGCTTCCGCGGTTGATGACGACATAGTGGCTGAAGGCAGGCAGGTGGGGCTGGAAGGAAGTCCCGGCGAGAGGACCCCGCCGCTGGCACCCTTCCCCTCTCGCCAGGCCTGTACTCCGTCCTGGAAGCTGCACTCCAGGGGGAGCCGTTGGCCCGGGCTGCAGCCGTGCGCAGGAAGGTCACGAGGCGCTGCGCACGATGGTGGGTGGGGGCCTTGGCCAGGATCGGGGTGGACGGGCTGCAGGTCAGTCAGAGTCTGGGGGCCGGTGCGCGTCCCTTGGAGGGGCCTCTCCTCTGTCCACGCGCCCCTGGGAGCTGGCTGTGGCCGAGATCCTAAAAGGCCGGCGTGGGTGCCAGGAGCGTGCACTCCCGCCGAGGGAGCTGGCCGGGAGGCGGCGGAGGTCTGTGCGTGGCGCTCGGGTGGCAAGCCCTGTTCCGGGGTGCCGCGCGGCGTCTGCTGGGGCTGGGCTGGGGTGGAGGGGGGTGAGGACCGGGCGCCTCATGACCCCGTCTTTCTCCCCCGGCCCAGAGGGAAGTCCCAGGTGGCCCTGAAGATCATCCGCAACGTGGGCAAGTATCGGGAGGCCGCGCGGCTGGAGATCAACGTTCTCAAGAAAATTAAGGAGAAAGACAAAGAGAACAAGTTGTGAGTGTTGGCGAGGCCCGGGCGGGAGGCTGGGGACGGGGGCAGCGCCCTTCTCCCAGGAACTCGGCGCCAGGGGAGCTTGGCCAGTGAGTCTTGCTGGAAGGAGCCTTTGGACCTTAGTCCAGGCTGCACCCCAGCCTGCTGTTCCGAGGCAGCCTCTCCGCTCTGCGCTGGTGGATGGGGCCTCTCGGAGCGGTGGGCACGAGGCAGGATAGCAGCCTGGGGTTTGGCTCAGACGCTGAGCACGCCCTCTCCACCAAGCACCGTCCCGGGCGCGGGACAGACGTGAGAGCCCGGGACACCGTCAGGAAGCTCGCTTGGGGGTAGAGGGTGACCGGGAGGCAGCGGCGGCAGCACTAGACCTGGATCCCATCTCCCTGAGACACAGGGGTCACGCAGGAGGCCCTGGCCCAGGACATTCTAGTCCTTGTTCGGAGCTGACCTGGGCGGTGGCGCTTCAGGCGTAGCTACATCCCGGTGTGCGACCATGTGGCCTGGGGCGGGCCTGAGCACTGGCCTCGTCTGAGGGAGGGAGTGGGACAGCCCCGAGCCGCGCCTGAACCCCACCCACCGCTCTCCCCAGCCTGTGCGTCCTGATGTCCGACTGGTTCAACTTCCACGGTCACATGTGCATCGCCTTTGAGCTCCTGGGCAAGAACACATTTGAGTTCCTGAAGGAGAATAACTTCCAGCCTTACCCCCTGCCACACGTCCGGCACATGGCCTACCAGCTCTGCCACGCCCTTAGATGTAAGTGTCCCCCGCAGGCTGCGTGTGGCGCGCCCGCCCCCTCCGCTGCAGCCCGCCGCTAGCCGTTCTGCCGGGCCCAGGCGGGCCCGGGGCTCTGCGGCCGGGAGGCCTTCAGGTAGGACTGGAGCGTTGAGAGGCTGCTGCCCCCTCCAGGGGCCTCCTGAACCAGCCCTGCCCTGGGCGCTCAGGAAGGAGGACAGCAAAGAGCTGCTCTAGAGTTACCGGCCCGCGCCCGCCTTTCTTCCTGGATGAAGAGGCGGGAGCCTGACCGCGCAGGTCTCGCCCACAGAGACTGTCTAGCGCCATCTCCACCTGTCTGCCAGCCTGGTCAGAGCATGGTGGGGCCGGGGGAGCCCGTGCTTGGGATTTGCAGTGGCTGGAGTAGGACAGGCGGCTCCTTGGAGGGGTGGACAGCAGTGTCCGCAGAGATGGAGGGGACAGAAAAGGGCCGGCGAGCAAGGAGAGCGGCGTGGTGAAGGCCCGGAGCCTGGCACGCCTGAAACGCTGTGAAGAATAGGCCCCCATCAGGGAGAGGTGGACCCACCAGTGGGGGTGGGGGGTGTCCTGAGTGCCAGATGGGCATCTGGAGCCTGAAATAGGGAGCAGCAGGGAGCACGTCCAGACAGGCTGGAGGGAAGAGGCAAGCTGTGCGCGTGGGCCTCGGGATGTGGAGAGGCAGGGTCAGCTTCTGGCCTCGGGCCCTGTGCTCGACTCACGCTCTGGCGCGGTAGCCTCGATGGTCTTCGCAGTTTCGAACACAGGGACGTCCACCTTCATTTTGCTCTGTGTCCTGCAAATGATGTCGCTGGTGGTGGGGAGAGGGAAGCACCCCAGAGCAGATGCTGTAGCTTGGATGAGAGACAGGCTGAGGAGGCCTGGCCCCTGCAGGAGAGGTAGCGGGAGGATGTTTGAATGGCAGAAGCCCCGTACTTCCTCTCCCGAAGCAGCCAAGTATCTGCAGCGTCCCTCCCCCGCGGTCCCAAGCACAGACCCCGAGAAGGAAGCCAGAGCAGAGGCGGAATGGGGCCTGCTTCCTCTGAAGGGCTGCGGCAGGGTGGCTTGGGAGGGGGCATCTGAGAGGGTTCTGGAAGGGGCGCAGAGACGCCCGGGTTCTCAGTGCCTCCTCCCCCTTCTGCGCCGCGTCCCCAGTTCTGCACGAGAACCAGCTGACCCACACAGACTTGAAGCCGGAGAACATCCTGTTTGTGAATTCCGAGTTTGAAACCCTCTACAATGAGCACAAGGTATTGCTGGGGAGCGGGGGCGGCCCTGCTGCCCGGTGGGCGGCCCTGGGCCGGCCTCCTCACCCGGCTGCCCGCCTCGCCCCGCAGAGCTGTGAAGAGAAGTCGGTGAAGAACACCAGCATCCGCGTGGCTGACTTCGGCAGCGCCACCTTTGACCACGAGCATCACACCACCATCGTGGCCACCCGTCACTATCGCCCCCCTGAAGTCATCCTAGGTGAGCCGCCGCGTCGCCCCAGCCTGGGCGAAGGGAGCATTTGTGGGGAGGGTGTGAGCGGAGGCTGCCGCCGAGGCGAGGCCCGAGTCGTGAGGCCCTGCGGTAGGTGGGCTCGGCTTTATCCGGGAAAGGGGCTCCTTTGAGGTCTGGGCGAGCGGCCTGCCCGCCAGCGTGGCAGCAGCCGCGTGACCTCCAGGCTGAGCACAGGGCCCGGGTTCACAGCCTCTCCCCATCTTGGCTTCCAGAGCTGGGCTGGGCACAACCTTGCGATGTCTGGAGCATCGGCTGCATCCTCTTCGAGTATTACCGGGGCTTCACACTCTTTCAGGTGAGGCTCCCCCACGCGCTCCGCTACCCCGACGGGCTGCCAGGGTCTGGTATGGGGAGCCCGTCCGCCTCCACCCCTCGACACGTCGCGAGACTAACTCTGGAGGGTCGTGGCCGCCCGGGGGACGAAGAAGGCAGGGCAGCCGGAGCCCTGGGGAGAGGGGCAGGACAGGGCGTGGGGGGCGGGGGGCTGGAACCACCGCGCGGTGTGCCTGGGTGGGTGACCCCGAGAGGAGAGGCTGGCCTTGCCCCGGCTGCTGGCCGCCGCGTCGGTGGGTTGGCATCTCCTGGGGCCGGAGGGCAGTTGCCTCTCTCTGTCCCTCCCCGCCGCGGGGCCCGAGGCCGGCAATGACTTGCTTGCTCTGTCCCGGGCCGTCCACAGACCCACGAAAACCGAGAGCACTTGGTGATGATGGAGAAGATCCTCGGGCCCATCCCGTCACACATGATCCACCGGACTAGGTGAGTGAGGTGCCCGCGAGCCCTCAGGCCTGGCCCAGGGCACCCCCCCCCCAGCCCCCATGGCGGGTCCCCCTTGACCCCGTCCCTGTCTTTTCAGGAAGCAGAAATACTTCTACAAAGGGGGCCTGGTCTGGGATGAGAACAGCTCTGACGGCCGCTACGTGAAGGAGAACTGCAAACCTCTGAAGGTCAGTTTCTGGCTTCCCTCGGCTCCACTCTTGCCCGGGAGACCCAGGCCCTGGGCAGACCTACGGCGGAGAGGCCGCCGCCTCGCTCCGGCTCTGTGGGAGGCTGTGCCCCGGGGCTGCCGGGTGCTGGCAGTGGAGCTTCCTGCCCACTGTCCCAGAGGGGCCCTTAGCCCTGTCCCTTCCCCACAGGGCGGCTGTGATGTAATTGAGGGAATCCCAGAAGAGCCAGATGTCAGACTCCCGGCCCCTCCGTTTTGAGAGCAGGGCAGGACCGCGGTGAGGGGGTGGGAAGACCCAGATGTGGCGGGGAGCCTGTCCGCCTGTCAGAACCTGACACGGGGGGCAGAGGCTCCAAGCCAGCAAGACACCTGCAGCCTGCCAATTCCGGGCAGACCGCCGCGCACTGTCCCGGGAGGCAGCACTGCCGCCCTCCCCCCCCAGGCTTGCCAGGCTTCCCGGGGCCCCCGTCACACTGAGGCGCCCTGTGTCCCTGCGCAGAGCTACATGCTCCAGGACTCCCTGGAGCACGTGCAGCTGTTTGACCTGATGAGGAGGATGCTAGAATTTGACCCTGCCCAGCGTATCACACTGGCGGAGGCCCTGCTGCACCCCTTCTTTGCCGGCCTGACCCCAGAGGAGCGGTCCTTCCACACCAGCCGCAACCCGAGCAGATGACAGGCGCAGGCCCCACCTGAGGAGACGGGGAGCGGGACTGGGCTGCCCGGCCCTTTTCTCCCACCTCTGCCGACGGGCCCCAGGGCCGGAGCCGCCCGCCGGACAGTGCAATGTGAAGGCAGGCAGGCGCCTGCGGGGGAGGGACGCGATGCCCGGCTGCCAGAAAGCACAGATTTGACCCGAGCTATTTATATGTTGTAAAGTTATAATAAAGTGTTTCTTACTGTTTGTAACCCCTGGTACCGGTGCGTCCGTCTCCAGGCTCCTTCCCCCGACCGTGCTACTTCAGCCTGCCTGGGCGGCCCCCCGGCGGACAGCCGCACGTACGTGCCCCGGCCGGGGAAAGGGCCGGAGCCGCACGCTCCTCTGGCTCGGGCTGCGCTGCTCCCGGGCGGGCTCCGGCGAGGAAGCAGCACCCTGCCCCGAGCCAGGCGCACCCGGCTCCCTCGGAGCCCCCGGCCGGCCCCTCCACGGCTGGGCCTGTAGGCCTCGCCCAGTGGCTGAGGGGCGCTGCTCACCGCCAAGGGCTTCGAGGCCCCGGGAATGCAGCGGTTCCCGCCGCGGCCCAATTCACCACAGAGCACAGAACTCCCGTCCTTCGGCTTTTATTTTCGTGCTGGTTTTTGGTTCCCCGAGAGCTGCGCGAATGAGTGACCTGACTGGGGTCCCCCGGGGGCTGCGGGCAGGATGCCGCCCAACACGAGCTGGCTAGAGGAAGGACGCTTCTCTTTAATGCCCCTGGGGGAAGCCCAGGCTTCGGGCAGGAAGGGGCTCTAGTACCCCCTGGAGGGGGGCGTTGGGTCAGGCACAAGCTCCTGGCAGGCCCCTCAACAAGGCCACCCCCCTCCCAAGACAACTGCAGCGTAACTGGAGCAGACAGTGGCCAGGGCTCCTTGCCCACTGCGCCCAATCGGGGGCGGCCCGTGCTGGGTGCCGTCGTGTCCCGAATGCCTCGATCCAGCGCCGCCCCGCAGATGGCCCTGCCTCGACGGGAAGGGCCCACCTCGGAAGCTGCCGGGCCCAGAGCGAGTGCAGGCTCGCGAACAGCGCGCGGCCCCGGCCCCTCCCGCGACCAGACAGGACTGAGATTTGCGGGAGACCGGGAGGCCAAGGAGGGACCAGCCCTCTCTGACCTGCCTCGTCTGCTGCGGGCTTGGTTCCGTGACAGCGACAGGGCCCCCGAAAGCCGCGGTGCTGGGGCCGACCCTGTTGTCCACGCTCCTGGGGGAGCCCCTCCCACTGGCCCCCGTGGCTAGAGCGGTGGGTGCAGAGCAAGAGGAGGCCTCCAGTCCTGAAAAAGACTCCACAGCCCGCCGAGGGCCCCGCCAGGGCACGGACCCCTGCTCGCTGCTGCGGCCCGCGGAGGCCCTGGACCCAAGCGCCAGACCTGAGCGGCACGCGTGCCCCCGGCCGAGCCCCACCCGCCGGCTCATCCAGAACTAAGTCCATTCTGGCTCCGCTGAGAAGGGGCCGGCCCCCCGCCTGTTCACTGGAGGTGACAAGCGTAAGGGGCTCACCCTGACGTCGTCCTAAGAGCCGCGGTGGAGCCGGCAGGAAGGACACGTCCCTGCGCTGGGGTGGCCGCCGCGGGGGACCGTTTCAGGGGAAAGGCAGGGGGCGGGGAGAGCGGGGGTGTGCGTCTGTGGGCAAGGAGGTGGCGGGAAGGGTGGCCTTGGACAGGAGCACCAGGAGCCTCTTCTGGCGCAGCACCAGGCTCCCCCAGGGGCCTCCCCAGTGCTGAGCATTACAGCTGCGCCCTGAGGGTCGGGCCCCATCTGAAGGTTGAGCCCCCCGCTAGAAAGCGCGCAGGCTTTCGGGGGTGGGGGCAGAGGAGGGGGCACTGCTGGCAAGATGGGCACTGTGGTTCTCCAGTAACACGACCGCAGGCTGCCTGTGCTGCAGACAACGGAAAAAAGGTAAAAACCCCGGTACGGTAAACCCGCCCCGACGCCACCCCCTTCCCTGCCCTCAGAGTGATGACATGGGAAAGGGGGGGCCGTGGAAAAGGGCGGCATAAAACTTGGATCAGCGCGGAAAGCCCCCAACCGGCCCATTCGGGGGGCAGAGGGGAGGCCTCCAGCCCGCAAATGGCGAGCGCAGGCCGGGCCCCGGGGGGACGGCCGCAGAGGCGCCGGCGCGCGCAGAGGAAGGGCCGCCCGGCTGGGGGAAGCGGGGACACGAAGCCACGAGCGAGTCTGAAATGGAGCGAGTCCAGGCTCCCCAGCAGAACCTGCCCTGCCCCGCGCGGCGCTGGCCGGCCCGGCGCCTGTAAACCTGGACACAGTCTGAGAGCTGCCATGTCTGTAAACGGAGCCCCGCCCGGCTGAGCGGGGCCGAAGGTAGAGATGCGAGAACCAGCGCCCGGCACGCCCGGCACCCCCCGCGGGAGAGCCTCCCCAGGCGACGGGCGCCTCTGCCATACGGACTGTCCCCTCACAGAAGAAACACACCCGGAAGAGAAAAGTTTAACAAGGTCCATGAAGCTTCACATCCTTAAGGCGTTCGTTGTCAGTGTCAGGAGCAGCGTGCCCGAGGGCTCTAGGCGGAGTGCAGCGGGATGACGAACTTGCAGCCGAAGGGCGAGTGGTAGTTGATGCCCACCTCCTGGAACACCTGCTGGGGGATGCCAATATCACACAAATAGACGCGGCCCGCGTGCTCTCCTAGCGGCAGAGGCAGGCCCAGAGCCAGTGACCATTTGGCATCGATGCCCTGTTCGACTTCATGCACAGGAGGGTCTATGCTGAGGACGGGTGCCCGGTTCTGGTTGGCCCAGGCCACGGCTGCCTTGTACCAGGGCTGGTCCCGCAGGAAGGCGTTCTCGGGGCAGTCGAGGCAGTTGATCACCAGGTCCACAGGGCTGGTGGGCAGATCTGCGGGTGGAGAGAGTGCCATCTGAACACCCCTGCGGCAGGAGCAGCCCGGTCCGGAAGCAGAGCTCAGGTGGCGCCGAGACACAACTCCCTCCAACACCCTTCTGGAAGCCTGGCTTCTCCAGCCGGGCAACAGCTCGGGTCCCAGAGCATCAAGGCCGCACCGCGCCAGGGGCGAGAAACCAAAGGCACGAGGGGCTGAGGGAAGACTGTCCTCATGGAGATCCCAGGCATCCTGACGGGCAGGCAGAGCGCCTCAGGCCTCGGGCTTTACCTTCTCTGCCTGGCAGGCAGCCCCTGCGCCCCGGACTCCCTGGGCAAGGACACGATGCGCTCTGGGAGGGCGGCCCTCAAGGCAGGCCTGCCCAGGCCCACCAGAAATGGGCGGCCAGGACGTGTGAGCAGGCGGGGGCTGCTCACTCACTCTACTCTGCGGTGGCCCCTGTCCCTGCGTCGTGGGAATGGCAGGACCTTAAGACAAGGAAGGAGCCCATCACTTCCCCTGGCCTCTGCAAAGTCTCCACCTGAGCCGGGCCTCTGAGACAGAACAGACACCTCAACCAGTACGGAAGTCTCGACCAGCCTGAAGGTTAAAGCGAGAACAGCAGCATCAGACCCAACTCAAGGGTGGGCAGACTGGCCTTCTGGAGCAGCTGGAACAGGCAGCCTTTGGGCAGCAGAGGAAGAACTGCAGGGCCTCGTGCTGTAGATCTCAAGAAGGGGAACTCCCACCAGCCCCTTCTCAGCTCCCAGGCCACAGGGACGCGGGTTCTCAGAGACGCGTGGAGAGACGCACGGCTTCCTCACTCGGCACAGGGCTTGCCCTGGAGGCCGCGAGGCTCTTGTTTCCTGCCTGCCCGCAGGAGCCCAGCCTGAGAGGTAAGAGAGTGATCGTGGCCCAAGTCACCATCTGTCCCTGGCAAGGCCCTTCCGGGGGACCATTATTTCCCCTTCCCTCCCATTCCTTCTTAGACACGCGCCGAGCAGACGTCACCTCCACCCACCCCCTGGAAGCGCCGCCGGTGGGGTCAGCGGGGGCCACCTCGGCACTGGCTCCGGGGCTGAGTCTCGATCCTCACGTGAACGTGACGCGGCGCGGCCTGCACACACGCTGGCCACACCCTCCTCTGCACCGCCTCACAGACCCCAGCCTTCCCCTGGCTGTCCTTCCTGCCCCGCCCGCCCCTCCCCGGCTCCCTTAGCGGGGTCCAGCTCCTGCCTCCGAACGGGGTTCCCCTCACGGCTTCTCTGCCGAGTCTCCCTTCCGAGCTGCCGCTGCGACTGTGAGCATCACCTGCGCAGGCAACCCCAGGCTGGGTCCCGTCTCTCACACCCACGCCCTCACCCGCACGCCCCCGGGAGCCTCTACCGTCCCCTCCCACGGCTCCCCACCTCATTCTTCCAACCACCTGGGGGCCGTGCCGAGCTCTTCCTCCCTCTCCTTCCCTGCAGCCACACCCGTGCTGTCTTTAACACTGATCCCGGCCTCTGGCCCCCAGCCCTCTCCGCACAGTCCACTCTCAAGCAGCAGCGCCGGCGGTCACCTGGACTCTTCCGCCTGATGCTCCCCAGACACTCGCTCCCTCTCGCCCGGAGCCAGACCTCAAAGGCCCGCTGTGATCCGCAGGCTCTTCGCGGCGTGACCGTGACCTGGGCGCATCTGCTTGGCCACAGCCCCAGGGGAAGGAACGGTGCCTGCTCTGCAGGTACTTGTGGAACGAAGCAGCGGGTCCCCAGCACCCCGCCTGAGCAGTGGCGAGGGCGGAGGGCAAAGGGATGCTCGCCGGCAAATGGACATCAATGATCTTCCTCCACGCAGTGGTGCCTTCCCACCCGCCACCACAGGGCGGCGCCACCACACCACCAAGGAGGCCTCCGGCCAGCCAGAGACGAGTGCTCACCTTTGAGGCTAGACACCTGCTGGCCTTGGGTCTTGCTGAAGAGAGACAGCTCATTGGTGATGGACTCCAGCATCTTAACAAAGTTGGGCAGGAAAAGGATGACCTGGACGTCATGGTTGGCCAGGTGCCTTCCACAGCTGATACCCTGGGCCCCCTTCACATGGGGCCCACACAACAGGGCCACGGTCGGCCTCTGGTGAACATTTTTGGGATTCAACCTGCAACAGAAGGTGACAAGCACTGTCAGCTGCGGGTTTTGCCAGCCCTTTGTGCCCTTTGACAGGTGAGTGCCTCTAAGGACCTGCTGCCCTCAGGGTCCCAGGTTCCAGAGGGGCAGAATTCAGCGTAGGCCAGGTGTCCAGGGTGGCAGGCCCTGGGGTCTCTTCATGTGCCAGGCCCGCTTACCAGGCAGTTCATCCAGACCCTGCCCCACGGAAGCCGGAGGCCAGAGCGCTGCTTTCTGACCACGGACACGGACGGGCTCCTCACTGTGTTTAGGTCCAAATTCCGCCTGGCAGAGGCTTCCCCCTCCGCAGCCCCGACGTGCCCGCCCGCTGCAGCGAGGCCAGGCTCAGCTCGCAGCCGTACTTGAAAGGCTTTCTTGCTTCTGCTCAGTCTGTGTCTCCTCCCAATTCCCTTTTCAAAGTCTGCCCCAGGTTTCCTGGTGAGACCAGCTCAGGGCCCACCTCCAGCACCACTCGGGCGCATGCCACTTGTTTTTTTTTAAGATTATTTATGCAGACAAGAGCCGGGGTGCAGGCCAGAGGGGTGTGTGTGTTTGGGGGGGTGGTGAGCAGGCTCACCAGAGACAGAGCGGGGAGCAGAACAGGCGGATCGACTGAAGTACACTGCTGGGGGGAGCAGTGGGGAGACAGGAGAGGTCTGCTGCGCCCATGTGGGTTGCTCCCTGGCTGGCCGGGGATCAAACTCGTGCTGCAGAGGCTGCAGACAGTTTCATAGTGCTGTGCTCAACCCCTGTGCCGCCAGGGAGGCTCTCATACTACTTTTTTTCCTTTTCTCAAATCCTAAGAAATAGTAAGCATCAAAAGGATCATTCTAAATTGCCTTCCATCAGCTGCCAGTCCAAGGCCTCTCTACTGAGCTGCCAATAAGCTAGGAAGAAACCAGCAGCACCGATCTCACGGCATGCTGTGTGAGTTAATGGATGTACAGCACGCAGAGCAGGGTCCAACCCAGGAAGTGTTCCCTGTGCCGGTGCTGGTCATAGAAGAGGTAGCCGCTAGGCGCTACCTGGCCTCCCAGGCTGATTTCTCCCATGGACACCACTTTCCGATGCAGTCACGTCCAGCGTCCTCGCCGTCAAAGCTGGGACGCCCGGGGTCTCGGAGATGCCACAAATAAGGAGGTTTGGAGACCTAGCCTCAGAGGCACTTGCAGGCAGTGCGGTAGGCCCCGGGGCAGGAAGGTGGGAGAGATGGGCACCCAGAAACAGCCTGGGTGGAGCGAGATGGCTACCTGGCCCGGGGGAGCACTGATGCTCACTCACCAGCCTCCAAGAGGGAGGGACCACAGGTGCTGTCAAGTCAGAGAGGAAACCCCTACCTGTCTGCATCTCAAATGATCAGCACTTGTGCGTGCAGCCCTCACCAGAACGCCTGGCTCTCCTGTGTCTGCCCCTCCGGGGACTCTTCGTTTCTCGGGGCAGCGCCACCGGAGGCCTCAAACCAGAGCCTGGCGTCCACACACAGGCGCGGGCTGAGCCCAGGTCCGGGAGACAGACCGAGCTGCGGCCACCGCCCGCCAGCGGCTGCTCTTCCACTTCCGGGAGCTGGCTCGCACGTGTTAAAACGCGGGGCCACTGTGAGCCTTTGAGGTCAATTCCGAGACTCGAGTTAAGCGCTGCCGTGAAAGCAGCGAGAAACTGCGTGGTCCTGGACACGCCGCAAACGGAGCCAACGGGTCCCCTTCCCCAGTGCAGAAGCAGCACTGCTGCAGGGACGGGGCACCCGCTGCGAGCTCAGACAGAGAAGACCCACACAGCGCGCCAGCCCCAAGAAGTCAGCCAGAGAGCAAGGTGATGCGGTGAGCACATTCAGATCCTGCCCCCCGAAGCGCTGTTTCTGGTTCAAATGCTCCCAAAAAGAGCTTATCCCAGGAGCTGCCCCGATGGCTGCTCTGGAAGGAGCCGGGACTGTCAGCAGACCCCAGGGCTAGCACGCGGACTCCTCCCGCCAGCCCAGGCGAGGCTGGGCCCCGGAGGGGTAGGGAGGCAGGCTACACTGGCGCAGGGGCCACGATCACTTCAGGCACTCTACAGGGAAATCTCGCATCCAGTTCGGCTCACGCTGCTTCGCCAAGGTTACTTCAGGACCAGGACTTCTGCCACCCCCGATTCCGGCAAGCACCCCCAATACCCCAGCCAAGCTAAGGAGGAGCTTCCATCTCCCAAACAGGAAGGAACTCCACAGGAAACATGCCTTGTTCCAGTTCTGGGGGCGCTGCTCAGGGAAGCTAGGCTGTCCGGGGCCAGCTGAACACAGGTCTCCCTGCTCCTGGGAAGCCTCCTTCCCGCTCAAGACACCCCTCTCCGAAAAGGTGACCAAAATGTCAACCTTTTTATTGAATAATCCACCAGATACTTGTCACCCTAATTTTGCTTGCTCTCTCGGCAGTACCAGTGCTGACCATTCCTTCATTCTTCAAACGCCATTTCTGAACTCTACTCTGTTAGCTTTCCTAACTCCCTGGCTTCCTTTCTCTGCCACATGGAAAGCTGCTCATCCTCTTAACTACGCCCTCAATGCCAGTGCTCCCCAGAAAGCCACGCGGCCCTTTCCTCCACTGGCATGCTCTCCTTAGCAGATTTCCTCTGTGGTTACACCGTTCAGGGCTGAGACTTCCTAATCTCTAGCTTCTGTTCAGACTTTTTTTTTTGAACTTTAGATCCACATGGCAAGTGGTCTGTTTGGATATCTCACAGGCCTCCAAACGCAACAAATCCAACATAAACCATCTCCTGCAAACCTGTTCCTCTTCCTACAGCAAATCTTATCAGTATCCACCCAGGTTCAGTGATGACCAAGCTCCATCACCTCCCACATCCATTCAATTGCTCTGCTTTGTTGATTTCACTTTAAATAACAACAAACCCTCCCTCTATCCACCTCCCTAATCCCTACAATCTCTGGGGTTGGATTTTCTGTTGAGGTCTCACCACCTCCAGTTCTGCTTTCTTTCAATCTATTCAATCAAAGTCATCTCTCTCTCTTTTTTTAAAGACTTATTTTTATTTATGCATATAAGACCTGGGGCACAGGCCAGAAGCACAGGGAGGGAAGGGTGAGAGGACTCCCCAGAGACAGAGTAGGAAGCCAAACAGGCAGATCTACTGAAACACACTGCTGAGGGGAGCCGCGGGCGAGACAGGAGAGGTCTGCTGCGCCATGTGGGTAGCTCCCTGGCCAGGGATCGAACTCATGCCGCAGTGGCTGGTGATAGCTTGACAGTGCTAAGACTTTAACCTTGTGCCATCAGGGAGGCCCTCTTTAAAACACAAGACTAATCAATCACAGCCCTACTAAGATCTCTTCAGAAGCTCCCTACTGCCCAGTGCACCAAAGCCCTACTTGTCAGCCAGGCACACGAAATGACTTAGGGGTCCCCAACACTTCTGTAGTCTCTCAATTCACTCTGCCCTTGCCACACACCAATCCCCATACACCTTCTTTCTCCCCCTTCTTGCTTGTCCCTGTTAATCCTCCATTTCTCAGGACTCAGCTTGGCTCTAGGAAGGGTCACCAGCTTCTCCAGACCGGAGCAGAAGTGTGGCTTCCTAGAGAACTTCTGTTTTCTTCACCACAGCACTGTGCTTCCTGGAGACCCCACCCAGGCTCCCGGAGGTCAGGAACATTACTTTATCTTCTGTGTATTCCCCGTCCCATCACAAGGTCTGGCACATAACGGTATCAGTAAAAGCCCACAAATAAAAATTATAGTGCTGCTTCTGATATTATGCACCCAAGGGGCTAGAGGGAGGGCACCAAACTCCAGCTCCCCCACCTGGTTGTATGGAGCTCAAGGCCAATTTGTATCCCAGCCCCCCTGAGTGAATGATGAATGCCAAGGCTCCGAGAAGGCAGGCCTCCACGAGCAAAGGCACAGAACTTTTCTCTTTCTGGAAGGGCCAAAGGGGCAAACGAAAACCCTGCAGCATCCAGGAAAGTGACGTCAGAGATACCCATATCCAATGAGCGGCAATGGATGACCTCCCGTGTGGGGGGGCATGTGGTGGTGCCCAGGCAGGGCACCATCACCCCACACTCACTCCCTGCGATCCAGAAGCATTTACCTGTTGGGTCCTCCGAGCAGGGTCAGTGCCATCTGACTGGCACACACGCCTGTCATCTCCAGTCTCCGCTCTAGAGTTAACCCGTGCTTCTCAGCCACAGACAACAGCTTTTCATGCAGCTCATAGGAAACACTTGGGACAACCAGGCCGGAATCTGCAGTTCAAGAGAAGGGGAGGAGAGAAAGGGAGAGTGATCACGGGAAGCCAGGTCCACAAATGGGTTTATTCAAGCCCGGATTCTGTGAAAGCCAAGGCTGGCCCTCACCTGGCCCGTTCGCCCCCTCCGGGACTGAGACAAGCCCTGCAGCTCTCCGGAGCTCAAGCACAGGGCGGGGGACCGAGTAAAACAGTTCTGGTCACAGAGCAGAGTGGACTTAAGTTCTCTTGATAGGTTAGCTTTAGAGCATGAAGGCTAAAATCACCGAGATGGATGAGATACAAGCAAGAAAAAAGCATGGAACAGCAATCTATCAATAGCATCAAAAGAAAACAGGCTTTTTTTCTAACTGGGAGAAACTTCATCCCTGGCAGAGGACTTTGCTCGTCCTTCCTGAGAAGTGGGAGGGCCACGAGCTAAGCCTCCTGCCCCTCTGTGCTGTTGACTCTCAAGGCAGGGCGATGACTTCTGGCCCACCTGCTCCGCACCTCCTCTTCCTGCTGCTCCCCGCTTCCCCTGAGCCTTCCTCTTTGCTTATTAACAAACTCAACTAGCACTTTGTCTTCTCAAATGACTTGTCATTTTTCTCCCCTTTGGGGGTGAGTATAACACTCACACCACAGGGCAAGAGTACACAAGCAACCTGTGACTTGCTTCAAGAATCACGAAGCTTTTCCGTGCATAACGCAGCCCTACAAAGGCTCGGGAGAAGCGCAGTCACGTAAAGTACTTGATTTTACCAAACTCAAGTCTGTAGTAATTGCCATCCTTGATGCACCAGTATCAACACCCCAAGTGCCATTTCAGGGCCCTGACAGGAAAGAAACAGCAAAATCAAGAACCGTGATCTGTAATGGGCAGTTCTTGCCCTTGACAACCAACACCGCCCTACGACGGGGGATGGCAACAGAGCAGACGCTGTACCAAAGAGCCCCATCCGGCCCGACTGGGCGAGGGACCTACAATCGTGGATTCCAGTGAGCAAGCCATCCTGGGATTGCATGGAACCAGTTTTTGACTGGCAAGATCAGAGCCCTTCTAGATCCGGCGTCCCCAGCTGTACTGTACTGTAAACTCAGAGGAGGGAAATAAGCCTTTTGCTTCTTCAGGCTCCACCTCCTCAACTTGCATCAACTACATTTATCAAGAGATGAGCTCTCATCAGACACTCAAGCAAATATGATGCAACCCGATGCTATTTCTAGGTCAGGCTTCACTCTAAGGTGGAAGTTCTCGGGAAACTCAATCATCATCCTATTGGTTCAAAGGTCTACATAGAAAAATTTGTTTTCCTCATGAACTGTTTCAAGAGAAATTTCTTGAGGGTCTAACAGGCGTCCACTCCTGCTTTACAGAGACTCTGAAAAGCGCGCACAAAGAGGCTATGGTGGTTTTAACAGGAACCCAAGTACAGACTCAGATCTAGATCCAGGTCTAGATCCCCTCGAAGGAAGCTGAAATAATAATTTAATGTAATGGTGATTAAAAAAAAAATGCCTACACATCAAAATGAACTCTCTTGTTGGTTGCCTGAGCCACTCCATCTGCCCCAGCGTGACTCTGTCCCGGGCAGAGGCAGCCCCGCGCATCGGGAGTGCCGTGTCTCCTCCCGCCCTTTTCTGAAATGTCAGTCACCGATGTCCCAGGTGCCAGCGCTGGAGGCTGCAGCCTGACCTTGCATGTCAACAGATGATTAAAGCAGCCACTTTTATGGCCTGCTCCAGACACGCACATATTATCAGAACTAATTAGAACCATTGATAGCAGTCTGAAAAAACTGAGCAAATTCTCGGAGTCCTAAGCCACTAACAACCCTAAACCTGCCAGACAAGTCACGCACCTGCCTACTTCAAACACTTTCTTTCCTTGCGAAGTCACGCACGGTAGAGCTCCCCTGGAGTCTGTGCATTTTTTCACTTATTTTCTTTTTGGTAAATCTGAAACCGAGCAGGATCGTGAGTCTCGGGCCCGCCACCCCACAAATCAAGCTTGCTTTCTCGGCCTCGTCTTGTGTGTAGATAGCAGTCTCCTCTCCCAAAATGCTCTCCTCAGCTTTTTCTGCCACCTTTCCCCTCATAGTCCCTAAGGCTACAAAGAAAGCAGAACTTATCCTACACCGGCTGGCTAGACGCTGCAGCTGGAAAGTGCCTATCTATTACCATCGCCCCACTGACCTGCACTGAGGGGAGGGGCGATACCGATGAGCTGGTGTAGTTTGTAGTCTAGGCAAAGGCAAGGCCAAGAATCCATTCTGCTCAGCCTGCCAAGTGCAGCATTAGGACTCCACTATACTCTCATCACTTCTCTGGAAGGCATGTGTGAGTTCCACAAAATGTCCCTTTTCAACATTTACACAACATCCGACCAGTCAGACTGGCTTATCAGAAACAGGCAGAGGGAATAAAATAAACTCCAAAGGAAGGGAACTAAGAACATAGCGTGTAAGTTACAAACAATGACATTGTCAAAGTCTGAACAGGGGCCAAGCCTAATTATGTTTGGGTTGGAAGGTGGATCTTTATTGTTCGGGTATCAAGGCAATAAAGTCAGTTGGTAGGGCTTCTCTTAATATTAGTATGTATTTTACAGCTGTTGGCGAAACAAGAAAGGGAGATATAATTATAGCCAGTTCGTGACAAGCAGAGCACGTCTGAGGATCTGATTAACCCTGGGGTATGAAGCAGCACGACTCAAGCACACTCAGTACAGGCCGGGGAGAAGACTCCTCCCCGCACAGCTCCTCGCCAGCACGAGGCTGGGGTCAGGGAAGGTGCCGTGGCCCGACCTGCCTCGTGTCCCGCTCACTTGTGCACTGCCCGTTCTGTGCATATGCTGTGGGCCGCTCCCTGCCTTAGGACACAGATGCGCGCTCTCACACCTCCACCACGCTCCCCGCCCCTCGATGTCCTCTGACACACTGTGTTTCACACCAAACCTTCTCCAGCAGCGTCTGCATGCCCTGTCCTTCACACCCCCAGTCTGTGTGTAACAAGTGTCATTTCAGTTCTAAACTCAGTCCTCACCCGGATACGGCCCTGCAGGTGGAAAAGCTGTGCGTGTCCCCTGTCTGAGGAGCGAGCTCGTCCACGGTATGGGGATTTCTCCAGGACTAGGAATGCTGGTTCTAGTCTGTGAAGTCACACCATTGGGTGGCGGTATCGCACTGGTTCTGTCTCGGGGGTATAAAACCACTGGTGAATTCATATCCTCACACCCACAACGTACAGACAGCTCCTGCAGGGTTGCACAAGCACTACGCGATTTGGTTAGTTACGAGAAGCCGAAATGCTCCCAATGTTCTATCAAGGATGTATTAGGTTCCACAAGTTCCCCCCTGACCTGTCCACCTCAACCCCTTTACCTGGGCCTCACCTCCACCACAGCTCAGGAACCTTGGCGGTCTGCCAGCTCCTAAACATTCTGACCTTGGGGAGTAATCCCCTCACACGCCTTCCCTGTCCTGGCACCCCTCTTCCAGGCTGCCTGCACGCATGTGGCCGGTTCCGCATGCCTCAAGCCGCAGCTTCAAGGCTGCTTATGCTCATCACTGTACTTAGTACAACATGTAAACAACGGCCTGACTCCGCCACCATACGGTCAGTTCCACGAGGGCAGTCCCTGCGCCGTCAGGGCCAGCAGCGCCCGGCGGTGGGTACTGCGGTGATGTGAATGAACGGGAAGAAACCCTGCACAACAGGCTGGGGCATCCCATTCCGCAGCCGGGTAAGCGTCCGCGATCGGCAAAGGCCAGGACCGGTGAAATATTCCTGACTCTCCCCAGTTCCCCTTCCCCCATTTACAGCACACCGCACTTCACTCCTTCGAGGTTACGCCCTGCTGGAACAAACAGAGGACTCAAGAGGTAAAGGACTTCCCACGAAAATTACCTATTCATGACAAAGGGTAAAAGTATGTTTACAAGGAAGAGATGTGCCGGACAACATCTCACCGAGTTAGCACGCCTCACTGGCACCGCGCTGGGACAGACTGCTATCACGCACTCTGGGAGAGAGACAAAGCCCCGGCAAAACCCTAGGGAAAGCCAGCCAATCAAAACTAAGGGGTATTCTTCAAATCAACTAACCGGTCTCTTTACGAATGTCAGCGTCACAAAGCATGACAAAAGTGGGGGCTGTCATGGTTACAGAAAACAAAGAGCTATGACAACTACATACAATGTGCAATGCCTCATTAAAAATGCAGCTAAGGGCCTTCCTGGTGGCGCAGAGGTTAAAGTCTCAGTGCTATCAAGCTATCACCAGCCACTGCAGCATGAGTTCAATCCCCGGCCAGGGAGCTGCACAGGTTACCAACAGGCCTCTCTTGTCTCCCCTCAGCAGTGTATTTCAGTAGATCTGTCTGTTCTATTCCCCACTCTGTCTCTGGTGAATCCTCTCACTCCCCTGCACCTCTGGCCTACATCCCACTTCTTCTATGTATCAACAAATAAAATAAATCTTTAAAAAAAATGCAGCTAATAAAGACATGACTGGGATTAACTAGAAAGCTATATATAAGGGGTGTATATGAGATAGCTTTCCTGTAAATTTTAAATTTTTTTAAAAAAGATTTATTTATTTATGCATACAAGAGCTGGGGTACAGGCCAGAGATGCGGGGGTGGGGGGTGGGGGTGGGGGGGTGAGAGGCTCCACCAGAGACAGAGTGGGGAACAGAACAGGCAGACTGACTGAAATACACTGCTGAGGGGAGCAGTGAACAAGTCAGGAGAGGTCTGCTGCGCCATGTGGGTCACCTCCCTGGCCAGCCAGGGATCGAATTCATGCTGCAGAGGCTGCAGATTGCGTCATAGCGCAGTGCTTAACCCCTTGTGCCACCAGGGAGGCCCCAAATTTTAAATTTCTTAACAGCAATCTCATATGTAGTTGTGTAGAGTAAGGTCCCACTGAACATACACAGAATTTAGAGGTGAAATGTAATTAGTACAACTAAATCTCAAATAGTTCAGATGTGTGTGCTTTAAAGATTTATTTATGC